TATTTGAAACATAATTAGGCTTCCGCAATAAAATAAATGAAATTAAAAAATAGAACTTTGTTAGTAAATTGATGTAAAATTATGTAAATTTACATCAGAGTTGGAATTATGAACAACAGACATCTTTTTATAATTTAACCATATATATACATATAATCGAATCTAACATTATAAAATCACTGTTTAAAAATATAAAAAAATTTTTAAACTAAAACACAAGTTTAAAACATAAGTTTAAAAAAAATCCCTAAGATGTAAATCTTTAAAAACCACAAAGAAGCATAATTATATCCCCACAACCATCCCAAAAAAGCTCATTTTTATAACTCCAACGTTATAGCCTTAATTAAAATTAATTGTTAAACTTAATTTAACCCAAAAATAAGACTTAAAACAATTAATTCTTTATTTAAATTTTTTAGGACATGTGCACTTTCTTGTTTTTAACATTCCCTTTCAGTTTTTATGGTTTTCACTTTCATTGTAAGCTATTTCTGCCGTGATTGTTAGTGTTGTTGTTGGTTTAGGCCACCTTTTTTCTCTCAGTTACCAATTTACAGCTATTGTTGTGTGAAGTACAAAAAATAAAAATAAAACAATTTTTTTTGTTTTTTATCGGACAAATTGTTTATTGCTTTTGTTTTGCTTTTTCGTGGTTTTCTTTTGTTTTGCTTTGGCCCTTTTGCTTTTGGGCCAAAAAGATGAGCCACCTAGCCAGTCAGGCAGCCAGCCAGCCAAGTTTGGGCCAAAAAACGTGCCAAGAAAGACCAAAACAAAAGACAAAAAAAAACCAGTAATGCTTTCCCACAAAAACAAAAATCAAAATAAACCAAAAAAACCAAAGCCAAAACCAGCAAAACTTCAAAGAGAATTACAAACTGAAAGCCGTAGCGATTGAAAAACAGCTGTTGGTATTGCAAAATTCTTGCAATTTGGATCGAGAATATATATTAAGTACAAGACTTACCTAAGGCTTTATTTAAAATTATAGTTGCCGCAGCTTCTTGGTTTTTTCGTAATTCTTTTATTAACAATAAAATGATTTTCGTAATATCACACACTATCACGCACTTGCTTATCACTTGAATTATTATAGCTTTGGCTTTAATTCATTCAACTATTTACTTAGCACATTTAACACGCTTAAAAAAATAAGTACATACACTATTTTGATCTATTTTGACTTTCTTCCGCCTTGTTACATCCGCTGCGATCGCCAGTCGCAATTGAACTGAGCTTCACTAGGCGCGCTTACGGAAAATTATTTAATTCCGCTGCCACTGCCGGCTCCATCGCTGCTGCGGCCGGCGTCGCTGCCTGGCTTGGATCGACGCCGATCGGCCCCAACTTCTTCTGCCAACTTCGATGGCTTGGCTTTCAGTGTTGGCTTAGCTTGGTGTTGCGTGTGTAGTGGGGGCGGCAACATGTTGCGTCTGCTATCTGGGTGGCTGGCTGCCGGGATGACTAGCAACATGTTGCTTCTTGGGGCCCTTCTTATTTAAGGAGGTAGGTTGGGGGTAAAAGGTGTTCTTAGGGGGGGGTTTTTAAGGTTATGAATTTTATAAGATTTTAAGCTTTGTATAATAATTGTATTACTTTTATTTTAAGAAAAGAAGTTTTATAATTTTAGTTGTATTTTCTTTTCTATCTTCTAGATTAGATGTTAGAATATATCTATTCTAAATCGTATCTAATGGAAAAATACCATCTATATCAGTGCTATCTTTAAGCACGCAATTACATACATTTGTCCCGAAAAAGGGACAAATTTAATATAAACTCAATATTTAAACTCTAAAAATCCTTGTAAAAAACTTACAAACTTAAAATTTCCCCATTTTTAAACCTTAATTTTCAATTCCCTTTCTCGCAAAATAAAAAGAAAGCTTCAACCTCAACTCGAACCCCTTTTGAAACCACCTCCACCCCTGACATTTTTAACTGTTCTTTTAAATTGAAAACTCAATTTCCGAGTTGCGTGACACGCACGAAATGGATTTAATTAAACCCTTCGCTTTTTGGAGTGTGGGAGTGACAGTAATTGCAGCCCTGGGCCACCTGGGCGGACAACTGTACTTAATTCCAATGAAATGCCAAAAAAAAAAAACAGACCTCTAGACCTTTACCACAAAAAAATAAGGCAAATATATAAAAACTAAAAAAAATAACCAGTAACGGAAAACATCGAATCCCCGAATTAAAGCCAATTTTTAGAGCCAGTCGGGCATGTAAAGAGCTCCATACTATATATACCATATATCAGGGCGTACTTTGTACCGATTCCGGTAGGGCTAATGGATCGGAACTTAAGAATATTACAATATAAGCTAAGCACCATGATGTGACATTAAAATAATGGTAAGGGATTAAATAATTTCCGGATTAGAAAATGTTAGATATCTAACACTATATTTTAATTTATAAAATTCTATATTATATACAAGTTTTCAAGGTCTTTAAAACCCCCTAAAATATTTCTTATAAAAACACCTGTTAATAACACTCACCTGGATCCAAGTTCCAAGTTTTCCAAGAACCTTTAGGGTGTTATGTATTATTTTGTTAAAAAATTAATACCAAGAGAACCTTTTCTGTTATTTTTTTCTTCGAAAGAAACCAGATATTGGGGCACATCTGGGTTTTCTGAAAGGGGTTCCAGGTTCTCTTCCAGAAACAATTGTCAAGTGCACGAAAAAAAAGAAACTAAATATAGACTTTGCTTGGACCAAGTCCAGGTACCTCCAGAAATCCGCAGTGCCCCCCTCTCAAAGGGAGGGGAATTATGCGAACCAGAACCATTCCGATTCTCAGTTACTGGCAAAAAAAAATTGTCCAAAAAGTATCGCTGGCTGAATATCAGTTGCGCATAATTGCCAAAGTCATTATGGCCAAAATCGTAACAATAAAAAATGGTCAACAAAACAAAAAATTTTAAATGGAAAGAAAGAAACAAAAACTAAACGCTCAAGAATTAAGAATTATGAAATTGTTTATTGGCATTAAAGAACACAAGAGCCAGCAAACTAGCGATGACTATCTTAAAAACCAAAGGGGCAAATAACCAACTTACAAAAAAAATAGCCAAAGTAATTATTATTATAATTAACAACCAAAAGGCTTTAGTTCTAAAAATACAAAGAAATTGCAAATAAAATTTTTCAATTACTCGATTCATGAGCCATATAGCGATTTTTTAAAACAGGTATTATTCCATAGAAACAGCAATATAAATGTGTTATTAAATACATACTAATATTTTTAGAAAAATATAGAGTCTAATAATAAGTTATTCGTAAATGTTTTTAAGTCTTGTAATACTTTAAAACAATATTTAAGGTCAACATTTATATATGTTTTACATTTAATATATTTTAATTTAATGAAGTTTACCTGTACTTTGACCTGACATCATTTTGGGTGTCATTTATTTTAAGGTTCATTCACTGTTGATTTCCATTAAAAATATATATATATAAAACATTTTTAAAATATCATTATTTATTGGGTAAACGCACTCAAATAGAAAAAGGTTAAACGTGGTTTAGTGTCTCATGACTTTGTTTTAAAAGTTACAAAAAGCAAATGAGATTATTTTAAATTTAAATTTGACTTTTGGGCATGTTTTAAAGTACATATTACAGAAATATATATACTTAACTCAAATCTAAGCTACTTCATTCAAAATTCAATTAACATTTTAATGTAAGCTATCCCAAAGTTTAAATTTAAGACTGAAACTCATTAATAGGATTTATTAGGGATATGTTAAAGGTATATTTTTATAAGATAGTTATAATTCTATTAATTAAACAGTATAATAAAAAATCATTTGAATTCATTTCTTTTATTCAGAAACCTTTTTATTTTTAATAAACAATATTTTTTACATTCCAATTTTACAATATTTGGCTTAATTATATTTTGTGACAATGTTCCTTGGAAGCCTTTTATAAAAATCAAAAAAACGATTTTAGAAAATTCCTAAAAATAACCAAAGTACGAAAAAATAGAAGAAAAACTAATTATGTTTTCTTAGGAATCAAAAACCATAAACTTTTGTTAAAACTAAAAAAAACTAAAGCAAAATGTGATTTTAAAACAAACACTAAAAAGCATAAAGTGGTTGGATAGAATATTCATTTCAAGAAAACCAAAAACATAAACAGAAAACTTTATAACAAAAAATGTTGAAAGATAAACCATTTTTTTTTGTTTCAAACTTTATAAAAAAAAACTTTACAAAATATATAAGAAATTTAAAATTTATTGATAACAAAAACCAATATTAATAAAACTCCAAAGTCTTCCATAATGTATATCCCTTTTTTGTGAAAAAGCTATTATCAGCCCTTGGGGAAACCTTATATCCAATTCAAAATAAAATTGATTTTGAAAAAATTCAATGTTTATAATTTTTACGATTGCCCTTTGACCCCCACAAAGTCACGCCTTAAAGCCAATCAAGCGCCGCTTTTCAGCTTTCTGTTGGCCGTCGAAATACAACAAAAAAAGCCACCGTTTAAGCCGGGTCGAGAGTCAAGCGACAAAAAATTAAAAATAAATAATTGCCAAAGACTAAAGCTAGCAAGTTTGTTTATTATAGATAGAAAATATCAAATAAAGAAATGAAGGTTCGGGTCGAGACGAAAACTGAATGTCCTTTTTAAAGGATACAAAAAATTAATTAAGTTTGAACTTTATAGCTTTTGATTTTTAAGAGTTATAAACTAAAAAGTTAGCGGAAAGGCGGACAAAGTTAGGAAAAGGGGTACAATGATTATTTTTGTCTAGAAAACTAAACCTTTAAAAAGATATAGGCATAAACTAAAAGATCATTTAAGTTGTAACCTTTCAAATAATATTAAAGAAATCCAAAAACCTCAAGTGTAGGGTATCAAGAAGAGCAAAAATAAAAAAAAGAAGGGAAAAGGCAGCTGCTAATCACATTTTTTCCAGTTGTCAATAGAACTCGTACTCATGAATCTTGCAAATACGAGAAATAGGGGAAGGGGCTATGTAGTTGAATGAATGCCACTTAAGTGCCATTATAAAACAACGATTTGCAATATACAAGTCATGATTACAGTTATCTCTCCATAGGAAACCGGTTTAGTTACAAAAAAACAAAAAATATGTATGAACCTTACTGCTCTAGAAGGTGACGATACTCTGCCAGGAGTTGCTCTTCCAGAACCAATGGCAAATCCAAATAGTCCTGATCATTCTGGTTGATGTCCGAGTTGAAACGCTGATAGGCCTGCATGGCATCTATCTCTTCTTGAGCTTGACGTAGAACTGAGTTCATAATTGGCGACAATAGTGGCGACATTGAACTCAAGCTAGAGCTGGAGGTAGAGGGCTCATTCTCTTGGATTGATAGATTTCGGATTCGATCCATGGTTTCCTTGAGCTCCTCTTCAGTTTGGAAGGAGCGTAGCAAAAATTCAATGGCTCTCTCCACATCATTGTGGGTGCTTTCGAGGGCTGCCCGTACGGCGGTCTCTTCAAAGCCCAAATGGAGGAGATGCTTCAGCTGATCGTCATCCGCAGAGACACTGGTTCTGGGCAAGGCAGACACCAGATCATCGAACTGGGTCTGCAGGAGTTCCACCTGGAGGGGGCAGGAGTTTATTAATATTATTTTTGGACCATAATCCTCTACTTACCGCTTGTGGCACATCGTTGTTGCTTCTTTGTAGCGCCAGTTTGGCCAATCGACGATCGAAACCCATTTCGGTCAGCGTGCAAATACTCCTAGGATTCACCCAATCGCAGTCCTTGTTCTTGGATCTATTGTACTTCCTTTGCATGGATCTCTCCGCCTTGGACTGTTTCCGGGCATTCTTCAACTGCTGCCGACGCTCCTGGATGAACTGAATAGCCTGGCCGACATCACGGGAACCGGAACAGGACCGGAGAGCCAGCCGGGACTCGCTTAGCTCGAAGCCCATCTCCATCAGCGTGGTTAGGTCGTGCTCGTTGACTTTCAGTTCCCCCAACAAGGCGGAAGCCTGTTCGAAGCGTTCAAATGCCTCGTCGCGACGATTCTGGTGGAAGAGGACCACACCCTGGAGCAAGTGCAGCCGCATGATGAGAGCCCTTTCGGGACAGGCTTTGCCCTTGAGGGAATACAGTCTCTTGAAGCCTTCGCCATAGCTCCGTTTGAAGCTCTTCTCACAGATTCCCAAGCGACGATCGGCATCCGGCAACTGGGTCACGTTCTTGAGGCACAAATAGCACCACACAATGTCCAGGTTGAGAAGGGCATAGTTGTCAACGGACTCAAGGAACTGTGAGTTGCAAGTGGCAAACCGCTCATCCGCCTCCAGGAGCAGCAACAGGGCCTCCTCGTAGTCCTCGCGTTGCATGGCAGCTCGTGCCTTTTCACAGAAGCCCAGACCCATGAGCAGGGCACGATTCTCGGCGGGTGGGAGGAAGACGGGACTGCCATTCTGGTCTTCCATCTAGAGGGGATTTTTAGTACAATAGATACAGCTTAGAAACTACCGGATATGAATATCCTACCAACAACCCACCTCCATCATTTGATTATCCGACGAAACCACCGTCTCCACATCCTTCTTGATTCGATTGATCCTCTCGTAAAGTGCTCCATTCCGGTTATCGGCCTGGCCGACAATCACAATCAACTGCTGGTTGTTCTTCAGCTGCTGGGCGGACAGGGTGACATTGGAGGCCACCATCTTGCCACCGGCAATGCATTTCACATGATTGGCATCCGGCAGCTTCAACTTGTCAGCTATGGCGGCCTGAAGATCAGAGCCCAGAGAGTTGAGGTCACATTTGATGTCCAGCATGGTGGTGGTGCCGCCACGATTGTCAATTCGACGCACCTTAAAGGTGGCCATTCCAGTGACGGAGAACTCCTGGCGGGCAGCCAGCTTTCGGAGGGCATTGTCCTGCAGCTCGGTGAGGACGCACTTGCAGTGATCGGAGGCAATGCCAAAGTAGTCAGAGTACTTAGCGGCTAGGTTCTGGTTTTTGGAAAGATATTAGAAAATTAGTTGGTTTTTAATGGGAAGCTTAAATGTTTATGAATGGTGGGATTTATAAATTAAATATTTAAAAGATATGCTAAAAATAAGAAGAGAATTTCGATTTAGATTAGTTTTTAAGATTGAAAAACTATCTTTGAAAATTATATCGAACTTTTATCTTTAAAAGTTAAATATATTATGTATTTCAATTAAGTTAAGCGATCATTTGAAGATAATTAAAAACAAATTTAAATGCTTATATTATTTTCTTAAAAATCTATACTATATTGTAAATTTTTTCTTTACTTTTAAAACAAAATTTTTTGGGCAAAGAACCTTTACAACTTTTTCAAACTAGTTTTATAAAAACGTTCTTACTTTTAAGATTATACGTTCTTACGTTCTTACTTTAAAGACTTATAGATTATTTTATGAATTTTCTATATTTTAATTACAAGATATATTTAAGGTTTTATATGTACAAATTTTTTATGAAAGACTTGTAAGAAAACTTATTTGGAAGCCTTAATGTTTTTGTGGTTTTTTAGATTCAAGGTATTGGTTTATAGTTTTACTAAACTCTGCTATATTATAGTCTTAAATATTGACTATACAAAAAAAAATATATTCTTGAGTGGTATTATAATTATATAAATATTTAGTGGTATTTTCTTGAGTGGTATTATAATGATATAAAGATGTAAAGTCTATATTTTTAAAATATCCACAAGCATAATTAAGAATTAAATACTGAAAAGGCTGAAAAACTACTAAGAATCATTTAAATTTTTGGTTTTTTTTTAAATACTTTTACTGTTAAAACATTTAAAAATAATAATACACAATACATATTTTATAAGACATTTTAAGAAACAAAATCTCTTAAAATGCAAGTCACTACAATGACTTTAAAAATAGATTTCTAGTTTCTTCACTAGTTTCTTCCAGACAATATTTAATCACTTGTAGTTACTAAAAGCCCTTAACCCACCTCCATGGCCGCCTCGATGCTGCCCAAATCCTCGGAATAGTACGGTTCCTCCCACAACTTGATGCCCTCGGAGCGCAAACGAGCCCTCACTTGAATGAAAATATTGTCGATTTGCGACATTACGGCAGCTCCTTCTTGTTCCAAAAAATATTACGACTGTTGCTGATCCCAAAGAACTGCAAAGAACCAAGGAAATGTTACACGTCACAAAGGAAAACTCAATGATTTACAGGCAGCAGTAGTACGTACGTGTGGAAAATGCGTTGTTATTGTTCTTCTTCTTCTACGCCTCAACACATGTTTTTTTTTCGTGAAAACCAAAACAAAGACGCTGCTTGTCTTTCCCTCGGTCTCTTACAGTGTTCGGTGGGTTGTGTCCTCTAGACAGTGTATCGAATATATCTTTGGAATATATTTGTGCTCATTTATGCAATCGGATGACTTTAAATTTTTCTAATTTCCTGACGAAATTCTACAGTTGCTGTTGTTGTTTACAAACAAATATAATTTTATGGCAGCGACTACTTGGTTGTGATACACATGCATGGCTGACAGATAGCTGAGTGCTACAAGGGCGCTAGAGATGGAACTATTGCGGATAAAATGGAAATAATATATATTATTTTTGATTAATATTAAATTTCACTTAAAAAATGGCGTATATTTAAGATTTTTTTGTTTATATTAATTTAATAATATATGGGCTTATATTTAAGGTTATTTGAAAATTAATATATATTTTTTTAGTCTATAAAAAATCATATTTTTGAGCGGGAAAATGGATGCATTTTATCCGGGGAACATAAACATATTTAAAACTCTTTAAAATAAAAAATGGATATATATTTGAATTAATTTAACATTAAGGAGTATTTTTATATGTAAATTTGGTTGATAATCTTTTATTTTTTTAAGGGCTTTTTTAAGGTTTGTTTTGGATATTTCAAGTCAATATACGATTTGAAATTACTAATAAGTAAAGACTAATATTTAAGATGTTTGTTTACTTAAAAAAATTTATTTTTTTCTAAAAATTTCTCTAATTCAATAATACTTTTACAGACTTAAAACTATTATACTTTCAAGATAAAAATGGAAAAACCTCACTTGGGAATATCATAAATTTGGGTTCTATTCTTTCATTTTTTAAAACAATTTTAATGAAAAAATACATGTTTATTTTAACTTATTTATAAACTCTTATATATCTTATCTTATAGGACCATATATTATAATAATTATAAGATCTCATTGTTTTCAAAACACTTCTTTTAAAACACCGACAACTGACGTTCCATAAAGTATTATGGTTTCTAGACCTACCCCTAGATCCTCCATACTAACCCTTGTATTTTTTATGTTTTTCTAGTTGTTTTTGAGTTTATTTTCGAGAGTTTCGAGAACCCGACGACGACCCACCCCCTGTGGCAGGTCTAACCCCCAACCCCGCTCCAGGGTCACCATCGACTCACCTGTCAAGCTCTGGAAACTGGAATTACAACTTACCTTTTGTTGTTTATTTTTGGTTTGGTGGTGGTGAGTGTGCCCGGCACCTGGACATCGCTCATTCATTCATTCGCTTCCAAAGGACACACGCGGCAGGATCCCAGCCTCGCCCCTGTGATCCTTAAAAAAAAAGAAAAATTTAAAAAAATATTTAAATGAAAATATAAAACTATAAAAAAAAGTATAAATAGAAAAGATGAAAACACGTCCGTTGGGGGCCACAACGAGCACAGCATCCTTTCGGGCCAAGCAGAAGGATGCGGGCAGGATGACGGGCGTCGGCGGTGGGATACTCTGCGAACGGGAGCGGAAGCACGAGGCGGCCATGCGGGAGCGGGAGGAGCAACTGAAGCGGGAAAAGGCGGCCACAGCGGCGGCAGCAGCGGCGGCTCAGCGGGTGCGGCAACATCGCAAGATCGCCGGAATGCTGGAGAGGGATCAGGCGCCGAAGAACCGGATCACTCATCCCAGAGAGAAGTACGATCCGGGGGGATTTCGATCGGGCAAGATTGGAGCTTATACCGGATACCAGGCTGGAAGATATCATGGGGGAGCCGGCCATGGAGCATGCTTTCAAACCCCAGGAGTCCAAGGACTATATCACGCAGCCGCTCATGCCAGAGTAGTTCAGGGAGATGCAGGCTATGGAAGATTTGGAGTTAGAGGAGGATATCTAGGAAAAGGAGGCCCAGGTGGTAGAGCATTTCATGGAGCTCATGGATCGGTAGTGAAGCCAGTAATTCCTCCGCCAGAGCCCCCAAAAGAGAAGCCGAAAGAGGACCCGAAGGAGAAGCCGAAGGAGAAATCGAAGGAGGAACCGAAGAAGGAATCGAAGAAGGAACCAGAGAAGGAATCGAAGGAGGAACCGAAGAAAGAACCTCCTAAAGAGCCAGTGGAGCAAAAGGAAGACCCTATCCCACCCATAGAACCTACTCCAACCAACCAGCCCGTGGAGAAGGCCCCGAATTCCGATCCCAAGCCCCAAAATCCCGATCCCAAGCCCCAAAATCCCGATCCCAAGCCCCCTAATCCAGATCCCAAGCCCCTAAATACCGATCCAAAAGCCACCGACTGCGAGTACCGAGCCGAACGCCTCAGGACCCAACTGGAGGATCTATCGCAACTCTCCGAGCAGGACTTCGAGCTGGGATTCCGCAAGTGGCTCGACCAGGAGGGCATCGCCCGCGAAATGCACTCCCACCTCCGCGTGGAGCTCATCAACTGCTTCAACAACACCGCCCTCGGGCAGCTCCTCAACAAGGCAGCCGGCCTCCAGATGGCTCAATCCCATGCCCTGTTCCTCTCTCCCCTGGCCCTGTCCTTGCACACGCTGGTGGCCGAGTTCCTGCACTCCCACAACTGCCACTTTACCCTCTCTGTGTTCTGCAGCGAGATGCCGCATCGCCAAGCTCTGCCGAACTTTGAGAGTCGACCGGAGTTCACGTTCAAGACAGCAGAGCTCGAGGCGGTGATGACGGCGGTGATGGGCGGCGAGGACATGCCAGCGGACCTGGAACTGAATCGACTGGTGGAGGCGCATTATAGCGAGAATCTGGCGGGACAAACGCAGAGCCTGCTCATGGCTCTGATGAGGTCCCTGGTGGAGGTGCGAAGGGAGGCCACTAAGGAGAAGCCACAGCCACAGCCGGAGTCAGAGAAGCCTGTACCAGAGGAGACAGTGCCATCCATTATCCTCGTAACATCCTCCTGCCAGACAGAACCCTCAACCATCCTGGAGAGGCATCCCGAGGTGGACACCAGTCGCCTCTTCCAGGCCGAGGAAACCGATCTTTTTGTGGGCGCCGATGGGAGGAGCGTCTTTTTAGGACCTCGGGTCTCCCAAGCCCTGCACGCCGTAGAGCACCAGTTGGGCCAGTTGATGTGCCAGCTCCGCCACCTATCCAAGTCCTGCGTGCCGCCCGTCGAGGTGATCTCGCACAGTTCCTTCGAGCAGCTACTGCAACGTGAGCTCCGGGAACGTGAGCGTCTCACCCGCGCCGGCGAGTCCTTTAATCCCGCCGAGCTGGTCATCAAGCTGCCGCCACCACCACCCGAAAAGAAGGCAACAAAAAAGCACGAGGATGTGGTGTACTCCGATCTGGGGCCCATCATTCTGCCCGTCGAGAATGTCACGGTTCCGCGAATGCCTGTCCTTCATCCGGAGCAGCTCTCCAGTATGGCCGTAGTCCGGCAATCACTGGATCAGCTCCATAAGAAGGCCAGCCAGCCGCAGAGCAGGATGTACGTGTCCGTGGAACGGATGGAGGCCCTTGCGGGCGAGTTCTGTGGCTGCATGCAGTTGCTGGGCAATATCCTGAACCTGTCCATGGAGCAGGAGCATGCGGTTGGTCGGAACAAGGGCTTCGCCATTGGCTACGAGGAGGGGTTCACTCACGGACACTTCATGGGCCTCCAGGAGGGGCAGCAGAAGGAGCAGCACGAGAGGGCCCAAAAAAAGAAGAAACTGGAACGGGAGAAGGAAAAGGAGAAGGCGAAGGAGAAAGAAAAGGATAAGAATAAGGATAAGGGACATGACAAAGAAAAGGTCAGAGAGAAGCTGCGGGAGAAGAAGGACCCTGTCCGGGAGCGGAGAGACTTCTCCCAGCAAAAGGACACACCCGGCAGGAGTGTAGCCACTCAAACCTCCAAGAGGAGAACCCACTTAAAGACCGCAATCATTCAAACGGAGGGGAAGACCTGTCAGGATGCCGGCAACCAAGCCAGCTCCCGGGAGGTGTATAAGGATCCTCTCCAGAAATCCAACCACGATCAGAAATCCTACGAGCAGTGGATCGACGAAATGCTGAACAGCACCAGTGGCCAGATATTCCTCGAGAGGGTGGAGCTGTCCTTGAACAAGGCCCTCGAGCTGCAAAAGAATAGGCTGGACGAGCTCTACCAGGTGAAGTTGCGCCATCAGGCCGAGATGATGAGGCTCAGCAGGCGCCAGAGCTCCTGGCGGGTAAGTAGTCCTTTCTGAGAAGTCTTAAAATTTATGATTATCCTTTGATTATCCTTTCAGACTCTCTGCAAGCGCGTGGAACAAGACTCGCACTCCTCGACCGAGGCCAAGGACCTCGTCCAGAAGATCTTCCGCCTGCTGGAGCACTACGAGTCGCATCACCAGATCCTCTCCGAGAAGATCCAACAGACCGAGCAGGCCGCCGAACAGGCCACTCGCATCGTGCCCCTGTGGAACGACCAGAACCACGTGAGCTTTGGCAACTGGAACTCGATAATCTCCTCCAGCTTAGTGTCCTCCAGTGGCGTCTCCACACCCCACGCTCGTCCTTCCAACCGCAGTCTCGCTCCGAAAGGAGCTGCCATAGAAGCTGCTGTGACGCCGCATGTCCGACATCCTTACGGCGATACTGTCTATCCTGCTGTGACCTATCCTTGCCAGGTTGTGGCGGTGCCTTCTGCGGGTCATGACAGCTATATGCCAATAGAGTCTCGGTATTCCGCCAATCCTGCTATTATGCAAGGTCCTGCAGGACTAAGTCTACCGGCCTTGGAAGGTGTGCCAGCTATTAAAGGTCCTTTAGGTAGTACAGGAAGTCCTGATGAGAGTCCACCAAGGGTAGAAGGTGGCGTAGGTGTGCCAGCTATTGGAGGTCCTACAGGTAGTACAGGAAGTCCCGATGAGAGTCCACCTAGAGTAGGAGGTCTTGAAATCGCAGAAACAGCTCGCACTTCACAAGATCCTGGTAAGTCTAGTCATTTTTTGTAAAAGGTCTTGTCTTATCCTTCAATGTCTTGCAGTCCCAGTCATTCCTGTGATGGCTCCTCCTACAAATAGCAACCAAAGAGATCCTGATCCTGGCCGCCCTGCCATGCAGAATGCGGCCACCAACACCATGCCGCCGCCCCCCACCACCACCACTCGATCTTCTCAAGCTCCAAGCTTCGAGGAGGCTCTCCAAAGTGCCAAGTAAGTTATCCACACCCTTCGATAGATCCTCCCTCTCATTCCTATTTTAATCTCCGCCAGAAATCGGATGCTGCAGCTGGAACAGGAGAGCGATCTCCTTGAGAAGAGCTTCCTCAGTTACTTGGAGAAAACCAAGCCCAAGCCCCAAACGCCGCCAAAGTCTAGTCCCCAGAAACCGCGCCGGGATACCGAGGAGAAGGAAGCGCGACGCAAGCTCCGGTCCAGTTGCCAGAGGGAGCGCGAGCAGATTAATCGATCCTTGGACCATTACCGGGACTGGCAGCGGAAAGTGCGCCGGGAGGATGCCATCAGTGTGGCGCAGCTGGAGGATCTGCAAAAGGATCGCATCCTGCCCAAAATGGTGGACTCGAAGCGCTCCTCGCCGTTGTGGCTGTCGGAACCGGAAGATGGCCAGCAGGATAAGTATCCATTCACTAATGCCATTGCCGAGGCGAGGGAGAAGCTGCTGGGCGAGATCCGACACGACAAGCGAGAGGATCCAGGGATTCTCAGAATGGAGCAGCCAGAGCTGCAGGATCAGCTTCTGGATAAGCAAGAGGATTGGCTGGCACCACTACCTCCAGTCGAGATTCCAGTATTGCCACGATTACCGGAGTCTTTCAAGAGTCCAGCACTGCCCTTCAAGCCGTCGGAACAGCGGGAACCGCTCCTCTCGCTCACTGACCTGGACCATTCCAGAAGCAGTCGCAGCAGCGGGGAGCTGAGCCTGCTCTTCCGACGCGCCAAGGAGGCCCTTGGCCTGACCTCTGAACCCAATCCCCTCCTGGACTCGAGCAGCGATAGTTCCAGTTTCGATTTGGCAGATGGAACTGCTCCATTGGCCTCGGCTGCTCCATTTCAGAGGGGCTCTCCCAGCCAGAAGCTGCAACGTTCCATGGCCAAGATGCAGTTGCTCTTTGGTGGCTCGGGAATCGACAAGGATCCGATTTCTGTGCCACTACCGAGTAAAGTGCGTCCTGTCAGTGCTCCCACAGCTGGTTCGGGATTGAGAGAGAGTCTCCGTCTGGGTCCATCTGCTGTTCCACGTCCCCAAACGGCTCCGGTTTCAGCTCCTCCGATTGTGACATCTCTTCCTGGTTTGGATTCTCTTTCTGGTGTGGGTGCTCTTCCTGGTGTGTCAACTCTAGCTGGTATTCCTCATCTTCCGGCAATTTCTTCTCTGTCCGTCACTCCTAACCTTCCAGGGAAAGCCCCACCCCCAGTTACACGTCCTCCGGCCCTCCACCTGGACATCTCCACCTCCAGTTCCACGCCCAGCAGTCTCTCCAGCAAATCCCCAGCCCTTGCGTTCCAGGATCTGGTGGCCGATGCCGTAATGGGCCCCGACACCACGCCGGAGGTGTCCTTCAGCCAGGAGTTCTGGAAGCGCGTCAATCTGTGAAAAAAAAATCGTAATCTTAAAAAACAAACAATATACATATGTTTTAAATTTTAAATAAAATAGTTCGAATTAAGCTTTTTTTTTTTAAAGATTGGATAATTTTTTTTATTTGCGTATAAAGATTTGGTCACATTGGTAGGGTAAGGACACATTGGTGTCATAGCTCTATCATAGGTATTTTTAGGGAAACATTGTGGCCAGTTATAAGAAAGAGGATTTGTTGTTGAAATTTATACCCTCGCAAAGGGTATTACAACTTTGGTCAAAAGTGTGCAACGCAGTAAAGGAGACATCTCCGATCCTAAAAAGTATATTTATTCTTGATCATGTCCATCTGTCTATTTCTACGCAAACTAGTCTCTCAGTTTTAAAGCTATCGACTTGAAACTTTGCACGCAGTATAAAAAATGGAACGACCGACTATATCCTATAGCTGCCATATAACTGATTGATTGGAGATGCTATAACTTCGGTGTTTTTAGAGTTAGAGAGTTCAGATTTGTTTAGATATTTCCAGTAAAATTAGAAATTTTATTCAAATTTTATAAAAAATATAAGAGTACAGTTTATCTAGCTGACGTCTTTATAATTTAAAAAATTAAAGAAATTGCATTTTTATGCATATTTATAGTCTTTAATATTCCTTAAAGTTTCATTTTCCAAAACCATTTTAAAAGGCTTTTTGTTTTCTTCAATATTTCCTTCGAATGTACATAGAAATGAGTTTATTTTTGTAGCTACATACCAGATCCCGCAATGAAAACAAGAATTTATAATTTATTTCGAGTTAGTTATTTTAGAAATGTCGAGTTGGAGATGAAACAAAAGGAATAACCAATCTAGAATACACACTTCATGCCAGGATCGAACCACCAGCCATAGCCTTCTTCCTCCGCCAAATTACGATCAGGAACTCCATCCTCATCTCGATCGAACGTAGAAAAGAGTTTAGCAAAGACCGAAAAAATGAAATACTCAGTTCAAACTTTTGTGTTTTCAATAAAAAACAACAAACTTTGCCCCAACTCAAGTAACATAATTATGCTTGGGGATAGCCGAGGAGCAGGGACTGTACATTTCAGAGATTTTCATTATAAAAATCAAATATAATAATTATTTATGATTTTTATTTCAAAAATTTATTTTAAAAATTATTCTTGATTCGAATCCAACTAAAAAAACTGTATTTGTTTTGGAAATATTCGATATTCATTATCATCATATTGATCAAAAATATAAAAGGAATGTTGATTCCTTTTATGAAGTTTTCCCGAAAATCCACCATTTCCAATTTATGGAAAAAACCAACTCTTTCATTAACTGTTCAGCTTGACGCATAACAGGATAACACAACATCTTGATCAGGATCACCTCCTAGTCTCTCAGTTTTAAAGCTATCGTCTTGAAACCTTCCTTTGCACGCAGTATATATGTAAGTCAGAACATCTGAGATCGGCCGATTGTATCTTATAGCTGCCATATAAATGATTGATCGGAAATGGCAAAAGTTTGGTGTTATTAGACAAAGAGAGTTGCGATTTTCTATGTATTCTATTTGTGGCAGAATAATATGACACACCAACTTTCATAAGGAACCTATTTAAAGTACTTCGCTTGAGAATCGGCTGAGAATTGGGAAAGATATAGCCATCATTGTAGACCCTATAGGGGAAAACTCCATTTTCAAAGGATCTGACACGTGTATCCTATGTACTGAACACAAATATCTTGAAATTTTGGGCGAAAATCGGGGTTTTTGACTTTCAAGTGCCTTAAAAACTCGACAGCGTTACCTGAGGAATCTTGTCCTTTAACTAATGCAATTTCATTTTTTTAGTTCAGATGAATCTGTGACAAGTTATCGGGTACCCCGCAGAACTCTTTTTTCGAGGCGCCGCCGAAGAAATTTCCAATATCTCACTTAATTTTAAATATTTTTGAATGAAATATAAATTCTTAAAAAAATGTCTATTTTGCTCCAATTCAACTATTCCCTCAAGTCACTTCCCACAACTAAACCAGAGTCGATTGTTTATTTTTCAAAGACGGAGCCTTGGGGCCGATCCTGAAATGTCTGAAATTCAAAATTTTGGTTTCCGACCTTCTTAAATGTTTTTCAGTTAAATTGGAAATTTTATTCAAAATTTAAGAAATATAAGAGGACAGTTTATCTTATTAAATTAATTACATTTTAATGCATATTTATAATATTTATATTTTCTAAAAATGTTTCATTTTCCAAGTCCGTTTTAAAATTCTGTTCTCTTTTTTCAATCTGTTCTTCGGATGTACATATTAATGTAAAACTCTTCGGGGCTATAAGGTGCAGAACTGAAATAATAGAATTTAAAAATTATTTCAATTTAGTTATTTTAGAAATTTCCAGTTGGAGATGAAACTAAAAGAAAACCTAAATTAGTATACACACCTCACACCAGGGTCGAACCACCAGCCAAAGCCTTCTTCCTTCGCCAAATTACGATCAGGAACTCCATCCTCATCTCTATCGAAGGTGGAAAATTTGGAGTCCTGCTTAGGGCTCATCGCGCCGTATCCATTACAATTGCCAATACTTTTCACCTTGTACCCGTCGCTTCTATCGCCCACAATAAAATGGTCGCATCTGCTTCGCCCCAAAGTGTCGTATAAAACTACTTCATTACGCTTTCCACTGGTCAGACGGTGCAATCGATTGAGTCCAATAAAGAACTCACCGGAACCATCAGTTCCGACATCGCCAAATCCACGTTCATAATCCTCATACGTGCGATTAAATATTTGTGAATGAGACATTTTTTTAAGAACCTTCAACCATCTAGATCCAATAGACGAATCTGATCTACAAACCACTTTAAACGGGTCTAAGCCTGGTAGTTTGATTTCGCGGAGGACTCTTAATTGTTCTTGGTCTCGTGGACAAGGATCTGGAAAATCTGAAAAATTCGTTATGTTATTTTGTAAACGACTGGGTTCTGTCGACTTACCTATGGTTTCTGTTTTGGGCGTCGTCTCAATCTTAATATTAGGCAGTGGAGTTGTTGGGACCTCCCCAGTTCCTACTTCCGACTTCGTTGGATTATTTTCATGAATTCCTCCGTTCTTTACTATTTTTTCCAACTTATCGATGTTTTCGCGGAACTGATTAGTCAACGTTGCAAGTTCACTTTTTTCTTTTAGTTCCCTAATTTGATCTTTTAGGATGTCGATTCCCTCACTTTGTTGCTTTATTAGAGCTTTTAGATTTTCAACTTCCAGATGCTTCGAATGCAACTGCTCATTTTTAACTTTCTCATCACTAAGTTGACTCTGCACTTCCCAATGCTTTCTCACCAAGTCCGAATAACTCTGTTGGCATTTGGATATCTGGGCATATTGTTTTAGATCCTCGCTCTGCAAATCCGAGTATTGTTTCTGAAGTTCCGAATAGTCTGTCATGCACCTTAGAAGTTGGACATCCTTCTTGTGGCACTTCTCGAAGTACCGTTGCACATTAATGGTCTCGCACTCTTCTTCCAGGGGATGGCAGGTCTGTGGAATTAAAAATTAAATTACTTTTTAAAATAAAACACTCAAAAAAGGTATAACTTACTTCTTCCGATCCCAAGGAGGCGGAAATTAGGGTAATGGCAGAAATGAGGGCCACGGGGAAGATCATCTTGTATTTTTATGATTGAACTTAACTTTCTACTGAAAGAGTTTCGGCGAATATTTCAACTGAAGCTGCGAGTCTTCAAGCTCCGGCTTTTTAAAGCCGTCCTCGGACATGAGCTTGAGCTTTAGTTTCTGATAAGAAATTGGGAAATACCCACACATATAGTAAAGCCAAAATATTCCACAGAACACGTACGGAAGGGATGTCAAGGGTTATTGGAGATTAGAGAGAAGTGATTAGCAAGAAGACCTGGCTTATGTTCTTAGCTTTTTTTTCTTCAGTGTATATATTTGGGCTATATACATGTACATATGTATGTACGTACATACTATATATGCAATAAATTATTTATATATTACCTTGCGACCTATTACCTATTTTTCCCAAAATTAAAGTAGTTTTCAAATAGATTTTAATGACGTAATAGCAGAACTTGCAAAAATGAAAAAAGCTTGAAAACCAACCATTTCAAATTGACGGAAAGAGCACAAAAAAAAACTCTTTCACAATTTGGTCGGCTTGACGTTGTGGCCGTTTATTTAAAAAAATTCCGTTTTTTATAAATTCAAAGACAAAAGCATAAATAAAACAAAATTTTGAAGAAAATTCAAAATTTTTTTAAATTTTAAATAAAGAAAGTGGAACATTGGCAGACTAAGGTCACATTAACAAGCCGATTATGGATTATGTCATGAACTATGAAGAAAAAGCTTACATGTTTGATAAATTCTAATAAAAATAAAAAATAAACTAAATTTGAGAAGGTCATAAGGTCAAGATAAGGTCACATTGTCTTAGTCATATGTATTTTTTAGGAAACAGTGTGACCAATCATAAAGAAAAAGTTTACTATTTGGTGTTTTTGCCAAAACTGGTGCGCAGATACATATATATTTCTTCAATTTACATAGATCTCTTAAAGTTTCAACTTAATTTTAAACAATATTTTTCCTTTTTGGCCAAAATAGTGCGCACTACAATCATTAATTTCTAATAAACATTAATATATTTGGTATTTGAATGGCTATTCTTAGACTGCTGTTCCATTGATGAGATCGTAGGGATCCCTACCCTGGGATAATCCAAAGAGACTGGCATGGGATCTCCGCCGCTCCCGCTCAATTTCGTCCAGATCAAAGGCATCGCTCACATAGCTGGACCTTCTTTGGGGATCGTCGAAGGCATAGGCCCTTTGGAATTTGGCTGGGTGAGATGTGGATGCGCTAGATGCTCCTGCTGCAGATCCCAGTACAGATCCGGCTCCTCCTCCTCCTCCTCCTGGATAAATGGGCTGTGGATGTTGCTGATAACCATTGGAATAGTTTGATGGCGACGATGGTATAGCCACCGGCCACTGAACTTGTGATTTTGGTGGGACTTGTCCACCTCCTACTACTCCTCCTCCGGAGCCTGTTCCCCCAGCTCCCGGCAAGGTCAAGGTGGAAAGGTAGCGATTCTGTTGCTGCAATTGCTGCTGATGTTGCAACATCAGTTGGGAGAACCTCTGCTGGCTGCTGCTCAGGGTATTGTAGCCTCCACTCTGCAGGGAATCCGAGGACTGCCGGAGGAAGCAGCGTGGCAAGGTGCTGGGCGGTGGGGGGAAGGGCATCCTTTGCATTTGAGGCCAAGCTCCTCCAGCGATTCCAGTTCCAGCTCCCTGCTCCGTGTGAAGGGAGAGATTCGAGTTCAAACGCCTCAAAGGTTGTCCCAAGGGATCCAAGCCCATGGAGGAGCGACGTGGGACAACCAACTGGGCGTGGTCTATAAAAATAAATATTTATTTTTAAATTTTTTAATTTAAAACTATTTATATTTTTTATGAATTTTTTTGTCTCTCACCTCCCACTACATAAAGTTGATCTTCTTCGAGTCGAAACTGTCTGAAACCGTGATCATCGCCATCCTCATCATCATCGTCCAGGACTTCCGGGTCTGTCGCATGTCCTGCATTCTCTCTCCGCTCCATTTCCACCGCCCTGCCTTCGTCCTCGCCCTCCTCCCCAGCCCCCTCACTGCCACTAATGTAATAAATATTCTTCGGTTTACTTCGCATTCCCGCTCGACGACAGAATTCCTGAAAGAGTTCATCCTTAGTTTTTCGCAGGCCCCGTTTCAGGCCACCCAACCTGGACTGATCCTCCAGCTGCACGCCGGAAGTGTTGGTGGCCATGTTTCTTTGCTGTTTCCGCTTCAGTTGTCCTGTTTGTGGCGCCGCACTTGTCCCAGATCCGACCGGTGCCGTGTATATCTCGGTGGTGGTGGACACGGACCTGGTGAGTGGGAACTCCTGCGGCAGATCGGCAAACAGGGAGGGAGCCGGTGCTGTAGTGGTGGCCGGTGGAGCAGGCGGTGGTGGCGGAGGAGCAGCCTCGGTGCAAAGTTCATTCAATGATTTGGCGAAGCTCCGAGAGTGGAGATTACATTTCGAGACAGCGGGTTTTTCAAAATAGAAACTAAAAAATATGTACATAGTTCATTAAATCCTTACAAGGATAATCCAAGGACTACCCACCGCCTGTCCAAGTCATTGTGAAGATACAGGTTCAAATTGGAACCGGCATTGGGATGCTTCCGGCAGGCTCCTGGCAGAGTCTGGGTCTGACCCGGATGGCCATAACTGCCCGGATGATGTCCTGGAGGTCGTGTCCTAGCATCGTGTACCTGATGCTGGCGCGGATTTCCACCGCTACGCACGATTCTCGAACCTGGCTGTGACTGGGACTGCTGAGGATGATGAGTGTTGGCATTCCTGGAGGAGTTCTGCAGATTATCGCCCCTCGGCCGTGGTCTTTGCAGCCCGTCCTGACTGCCCAGGGTGCCCGGCTGCTTGTACCGCTTGTAGGACTGACTCAATGGATGCTGGTTGGCGCCCTCCTTGAACTTGGCCTGGATGTTGGCAACACTGAAGCAGGGCAATCGCTAAAAAAAAAACAAAGAATACAGAAATGCGAAGCATAAATAAATAAAGTATCGAAGGAAAAGGCAAAACCAAATAGGGAAAGAATGGGAAATGCATTTAAATCCCCCAAGGACTCATCCTGCACTCGGGCAGAAGAATTATGGGCTGGGTGACGATGCAACGCCAAGAAGGATGGCCAGGATAAAAACAGGAAATCAGCCAGACGAAGGCGAAAAATGCCGGAAGAGGACAGCGCAGAAAAATTGCTATGGAAATATGTACTTTTCCGCAAGGATATGTCAAAAGTGTTAACGTAACAAGTTTAAGTTAATATTTAAAATGTGTAACAGGATGTTCGGCAGGAATTGGCAAATGGTGGGAAAATATTAAAGGGAAGAGTAAGTCTAGGGAGTCTAAGGTTTCTAAGGATATTTGTTTAAGAAAGGAGAACAAATAGAAAAATAATATAAAATATAAAACATATAAAAGGATATATGTACGTATGGGATAAGGTATAGGACATCATGGGAAGAATAATTATATTTAGTTGAAAATAGATTCGATTTTTTGTTGGAATGTTTAAACAAATTAAGTGGAAAAAAGTGTAGACATTTGGAACAAACCTTTAAAAAAAAAAACATAAAAAAAACTTATCCAAAATTATGAAGCATGATTGTATTAACTAAAAGTGAACCTAAACTTGTCAAACACTTAAAAACTTGTAGACTTAAAAATAATACTCTATTTAAACTTACACTATAATAATTCACTTCCTGTAGATTAATAAATAAAAATATATTCAAAACACCCACAAATTCCGTGACAATAAATCCACAAACGAAGAGGAAAAAGCTTTGTCCATAAGTAACTTTAAACAGAGCCGGTTGTAGGGTCGATCGAGGCCTCAACTTTGACCCAATTTCCGCTTTCAATATGGAAATATAAGCAATCAAGCCAATGAGCATAACCAAACCTATAAAAATATAATAAGTAATTATATTATTTATAATTTTAACTATTTTACAATAATAATAACTCACCACTAACAATAAACAGTATCCCAGCACTAAAATAATATAAATTATTTTGATGCGAACAGGTAGGAATCAAAAATACAATAAAGCTGATCACCAAAAACACACCTGCGGCCAGGAAAATGGGACATGATTTGGTGACAGTATCTATTTGGAAGAAAACAATGTTTTTTTTTTAATAAAATTAAAAATATTATAAATACATACGTACTTATATTTAAACTCTCTAGCTAAGTTCATAATATATTTATTACATTATTTTATGAGTATGGTATCTTTTTTGATGATAACCGGAAACATTTTTAAATATAAAAAACAAAACATTTCTATATCGATTCCCTCCATATATTTATACAAAAATCTCATTGGAAAATATTTTTCATTATATATTTTGGATGAAAATATTATTTTGGATTTTTAAAAAATATTTTGCGTTGAGATTCTTGAACAAAAAGATGGGAAATCAATAAAGAAATCGACTAAAATACTCTGCTTAAGAATCAGGTATGAATTGACAGAGATATGGACATCGCCGTGGGCCATAATGGGGCTACTTGCGTTTTTGAGGGGATCCCATGAGGAAAATTGAGAAAAAATCTAATAAATATTTTGCTTTGAGATTCTTAGACAAATAGATAGGAAATCAATATATAAATCGGTTAAGATACTCCGCTTAAGAATCAGGTATGAATTGACAGAGATATGGACATCGCCGTGGACCATAATGGGGCTACTTGCGTTTTTGAGGGGATCCCATGAGGAAAATTGAGAAAAAATCTAAAAAATATTTTGCATTGAGATTTTGATACAAATAGATAGGAAATCAATAAAGAAATCGATTAAGATACTCCGTTTAAGAATCAGGTAAGAATTGACAGAGATATGGACATCGCCGTGGGCCATAATGGGGCTATTTGCGTTTTGAGGGGATCCCATGAGGAAAATTGAGAAAAAATCTAAAAAATATTTTGCATTGAGATTTTGATACAAATAGATAGGAAATCAATATAGAAATCGATTAAGATACTCCGCTTAAGAATCAGGTAAGAATTGACAGAGATATGGACATCGCCGTGGGCCATAATGGGGCTACTTGCGTTTTTGAGGGGATCCCATGAGGAAAATTGAGAAAAAATCTAAAAAATATTTTGCATTGAGATTTTGATACAAATAGATAGGAAATCAATAAAGAAATCGATTAAGATACTCCGTTTAAGAATCAGGTAAGAATTGACAGAGATATGGACATCGCCGTGGGCCATAATGGGGCTATTTGCGTTTTGAGGGGATCCCATGAGGAAAATTGAGAAAAAATCTAAAAAATATTTTGCATTGAGATTTTGATACAAATAGATAGGAAATCAATATAGAAATCGATTAAGATACTCCGCTTAAGAATCAGGTATGAATTGATAGAGATATGGACATCGCCGTGGGCCATAATGGGGCTACTTGCGTTTTTGAGGGGATCCCATGAGGAAAATTGAGAAAAAATCTAAAAAATATTTTGCATGGAGATTTTTATACAAATAGATAGGAAATCAATATAGAAATCGATTAAGATACTCCGCTTAAGAATCAGGTAAGAATTGACAGAGATATGGACATCGCCGTGGGCCATAATGGGGCTACTTGCGTTTTTGAGGGGATCCCATGGGGAATTTTCAGAAAAAATCGCCGTGGCCATAATGGGGCTACTTGCGTTTTGAGGGAATCCCATGAAAAAAATTCAGAAAAAATAAAAATAATATTTTGCATTGAGATTTGGATACAAATAGATGGGAAATCAATATATAAATCGATTAAGATACTCCGCTTAAGAATCAGGTATAAATTGACAGAGATATGGACATCGCCGTGGGCCATAATGGGGCTATTTGCGTTTTGAGGGAATCCCATGAAAAAAATTCAGAAAAAATAAAAATAATATTTTGCATTGAGATTTGGATACAAATAGATGGGAAATCAATATAGAAATCGATTAGGATACTCCGCTTAAGAATCAGGTAAGAATTGACAGAGATATGGACATCGCCGTGGGCCATAATGGGGCTATTTGCGTTTTGAGGGAATCCCATGAAAAAATTCAGAAAAAATAAAAATAATATTTTGCATTGAGATTTGGATACAAATAGATGGGAAATCAATATATAAATCGATTAGGATACTCCGCTTAAGAATCAGGTATAAATTGACAGAGATATGGACATCGCCGTGGGCCATAATGGGGCTACTTGCGTTTTTGAGGGGATCCCATGGGGAATTTTCAGAAAAAATCTAAAAAATATTTTGCATTAAGATTTTGATACAAATAGATAGGAAATCAGGTAAGAATTGACAGAGATATGGACAACGCCGTGGGCCATAATGGGGCTACTTGCGTTTTTGAGGGGATCCCATGAGGAATTTTCAGAAAAAATCTAAAAAATATTTTGCATTAAGATTTTGATACAAATAGATAGGAAATCAGGTAAGAATTGACAGAGATATGGACAACGCCGTGGGCCATAATGGGGCTACTTGCGTTTTTGAGGGAATCCCATGAAAAAAATTCAGAAAAAATAAAAATAATATTTTGCATTGAGATTTGGATACAAATAGATGGGAAATCAATATAGAAATCGATTAGGATACTCCGCTTAAGAATCAGGTAAGAATTGACAGAGATATGGACATCGCCGTGGGCCATAATGGGGCTATTTGCGTTTTGAGGGAATCCCATGAAAAAAATTCAGAAAAAATAAAAATAATATTTTGCATTGAGATTTGGATACAAATAGATAGGAAATCAATATAGAAATCGATTAAGATACTCCGCTTAAGAATCAGGTAAGAATTGACAGAGATATGGACATCGCCGTGGGCCATAATGGGTCTACTTGCGTTTTTGAGAGGATCCCATGAGGAAAATTGAGAAAAAATCTAAAAAATATTTTGCATGGAGATTTTTATACAAATAGATAGGAAATCAATATAGAAATCGATTAAGATACTCCGCTTAAGAATCAGGTAAGAATTGACAGAGATATGGACATCGCCGTGGGCCATAATGGGGCTACTTGCGTTTTTGAGGGGATCCCATGGGGAATTTTCAGAAAAAATCTAAAAAATATTTTGCATTAAGATTTTGATACAAATAGATAGGAAATCAGGTAAGAATTGACAGAGATATGGACAACGCCGTGGGCCATAATGGGGCTACTTGCGTTTTTGAGGGGATCCCATGAGGAAAATTGAGAAAAAATCTAAAAAATATTTTGCATTAAGATTTTGATACAAATAGATAGGAAATCAGGTAAGAATTGACAGAGATATGGACATCGCCGTGGGCCATAATGGGGCTAGTTGCGTTTTTGAGGGGATCCCATGAGGAAAATTGAGAAAAAATCTAAAAAATATTTTGCATGGAGATTTTTATACAAATAGATAGGAAATCAATATAGAAATCGATTAAGATACTCCGCTTAAGAATCAGGTAAGAATTGACAGAGATATGGACATCGCCGTGGGCCATAATGGGGCTACTTGCGTTTTTGAGGGGATCCCATGGGGAATTTTCAGAAAAAATCGCCGTGGCCATAATGGGGCTACTTGCGTTTTTGAGGGGATCCCATGAGGAAAATTGAGAAAAAATGTAAAAAATATTTTGCGAAATCGATATTGAAATAAATTAAGGTACTGCGCTTAAGAGTTTCTTACTTTATTTTTAATGGCAAAGATATAGACAACGCCGTGGTCAATATTTTGATCCTCCATACATTTTTTTCACTGTTTTTTCTCAGGAAGAGGATTCAAGGAATCTGTAAGGATCCTGAAGCGTTTTAGTAATCCATTAATAATTTTAGTGAATAAAATCTAAGCCACTGTTTCAAAATCTTTAAATCCTTAAATTTGTGGCAAAGATAATTGAAAAATGCCTTGAACCACAATTCATTTTGTCCAAAATCAAGCTTCGTATGTGACGAGAAAAACTGTCACTTTTATCCTGCGGCCATTTGGCCTTGTTGTCCTTTTGTCTTGACTTTGTCGAGTGTCAAAATAACCCAAAGCCAAGAGGAAAAAAAATGTATATTTATATACACATACATTATAACACATCTATACAATATATAATGACACTGGCAAACTGTTTGGGCTTTTTGGTTTAATAGTTTCATTTAGAAAATTGTGACCCGCGGTCAAATGGGAAATTAGTTTTGAGGAATTGTTTTGTGACTTTAGACAACAAAACAAAATTAATGGGGAATCACATACAATGTAGGTATTTGAGAGGCTCACTGAATTGTTTTGTAAATCAATGGAATTCCATTGATGACTTCGATTCAATTTCCACAAGGACATTGGTGACCCCGAGCACTAAATACAATTTGGCTGATAAATCTTAAACAATAAAGCAAAATTAATGGATAAATTTGCACATATAGGTATTTGAAAGTCTTATTGAATTGTTTAGCACTGGTGACCCCGACGTTTCAAAAGACCAAAGACCAACAATCATATGAAAACTTTGCCTTTAATTAAAATTCAGGCAACTAAATTCCGTGTGGATGTTCGTGTGTGGCAACTAAAACAACAATAAATCAATTTCAATTTGGTCCAGTCAGCCAGGTGACTGTGGGGGTATGTGTGTATTGGTGTTGGCCCGGATTTAAAGGCATTCGCCTGGTTAAACACCGGATTAAGCCAGCCAGCTAAGCCCATTAAGATGCAGTTTCTGGCGGGGCTGGGAATTAAGCATCACCTCTGAGATGGATTCATTCAGCTGGAAGCCACATACACTCAACAAAAAAAGTGGGCTAAAAGGCTAAGAATCTTTTACAAAATAAATTATTTTATTCACAAAGACATGGCCTTTTAGATATTAAATTAAACATTTTAAGCTATAAACTATTTTTTTAAATTTGTTATCATTTTTATCACAAATACTTACAGGGTATTGCCGGCGTCGAGTCATGTGGATCTGGTTGGTAGCCTTCTTTAGGAAAATAGTCAATTTTAATGCAATTATATGAGTCCACATCCAGGCCTTTAAATAAAAACAATTATTAAAGAATTAAGATTTAAATAAATAGAACATAGACTATGTAAGAAAAAAATTATATATTGAAAATTAATTTTTAAAAATATTTATTTATTTTAATATACTAATATACTAAAACAAGAAAGGAGAGTAAGCTCGGGTAGATCCGAAGTTGATATACCCTTGCAGTTTAGATTGGATATTGATCACAAATATCCGATATAATTGGCCGATCGTTATTGGAACTTTATTATAAAACCAATTTATTGGTTTATTATAAGACCAATTTATACCAAATTAAAACAGTCACAAGCTTCTATCGTCAAAAATACCAAATTTGGTATTTTTACCTAATAAAATTTTTGATTAGTTATATGGCAGCTATAGGATATACCTTATGTTTGAACCCTATGAAATTTGGTATGTCGTAGTATTCTGCCAACAATATAATCTATTAAAACATCTAAACTCTCTTAGTCTAAAAACACAAAATTTATGGCATTTCCGATCAATCAGTTACTATAATATAATATACATCCAGATGTCGATCCCAGATGTTCCGACCTACATATGTACATACTGCGTGCAAATAAAAGTTTCAAGATTTAATTAGACCATGCAGTATATACATACGTTGTAAGGTAATATATAAATAATTTATTGCATATATATTATGAACATATGTATGTATATAGCCTTAATATATACCAAAAGAAGAAGCTAAGAACATAAACCAGATCTTGTTGCTAATCACCTCTCTCTAATCTTCAATAACCTTTGACATCCCTTTCGTACGAATTCTGTCTGTGGAATATTTTGGCTTTTCTAAATGTGTGGGTAATTCCCAATTTCTTATCAGAAACTAAAGCTCAAGCTCATGGCCAAGGATGGCTATAAAAAGTCGGAGCTCCAAGACTCGCAGCATCAGTTCAAATATTCCCAGAGACTCTTTCAGTAGAAAGTTCTGCTCAATTAAAAAATACAAGATGATCTTCCCCGTAGCCATAATTTCTGCCATTTTCCTAATTTCTGCCTCCCTTGGATCGGAAGAAGTAATAGCCGTTTTGTGTGATTTATTTTAAAAAGTAATTTAATTTTTTATTCCACAGTCATGCTACCTCTCCGAAGAGCAGGAAGATCAATGTGCATCGGTTTGTTATCCGATCGTGAAACCTCTACTTCGATACTTCGAGAAAACCAACCAGAGGGATGCAGAGCTCTTAAAGTGCAGGGCTGATTACACCGAATTGCAGAAAAAGGGTCTAGAAAAATATTTCCAGATATCAAAATGGCAACAGGATTATTCGGACTTGGTGAAATCGAATGCGGAAGTGTTGAGGCAACTTAAAGATAGTGAAGTTAAATATGAGCAGTTGCATTCGAAGCAGCAGGAAGTTGACAATCTAATAAATCAAAAAAATAATGAAATCGACCTCCTAAAAGATCAAATTAGGGAACTAAAAGAAAAAAGTGAACTTGCAACGTTGACTAATCAGTTCATCGATAAGTTGGAAAAAATAGTAAAGATTGGAGGAATTCATGAAAATAATGCAACGAAGTCGGAAGTAGGATCTGGAGAGGTCCCAACAACTCCACCGCCTAATATTGATAATCAGACGACGCCGAACACACAAACCATAGGTAAGTCGGAAGAACCCAGTTATTTGCAAAATATAATAACGAGTTTTTTAGATTTTCCAAATCCTTGTCCACGAAACCAAAAAGATGTCCTTCGCGAAATCCACCTTCCAGGCTCAGACCCGTTTAAAGTGGTTTGTCATTCAAGATCGACATTAAGATCTGGATGGTTGACTGTTTATAAAAAACATTATTATCCAGAAATATTTAATCGCACGTATGAGGATTATGAACGTGGATTCGGAGATGTAGGAAATCATTGGCGGGAAGAGTTCTTTATTGGACTCAACCGATTGCACCATCTGACCAGTGGAAAGCCTCATGAAGTGTTGTCATACACCAGTGCGGGGCGAAGCAGATGCGACCACTTTATTGTGGGCGATAGAAGCGAAGGGTACAGGGTGAAAAATATTGGCAATTGTACTGGAGACGATGTATGGATGAGCCCTAAGCAGGGCTCAAAATTTTCGACCTTCGATCGAGATGAGGATGGAGTTCCTGATCGTAATTTGGCGAAGGAATTTGGCTTTGGCTGGTGGTTGGATCCTTCCATAAGGTGTGTTTTCTAATTTGGTTTTTTATTTTGTTTCATCTCCAACTGGAAATTTCTAAAATACCTAAATTAAAATAATTTTTAAATTCTATTATTTTAGTTCTGCACCAAAACGTATTTTTTCCACCAAAAGGTATTACATTAAAATGTACATCCGAAGAGCAGATTGAAACAAGCAACATTTTAACACGTACTTGGAAAATGAAACATTTTTAGAAAATATAAAGATTAAAAATATTCATTAAAATGTAATTATTTTAATTTTAAAATTATAAAGACGATAATTAGGTAAACTGTACTCTTCTATTTTTTAAGTTTTGAATAAAATAAATAATTAAAATAACTAAAAATTAATCAAAAATAATTGTTTTCACTGCAAAAAGGTAGAAATGGTCGGAAACCAATATTTACAATTTCAGACATTTCAGGATCAGTCCCAACGGAGCCTTTGAAAAATAAACAAGCAACTTTGGTTTAATTGTGGGACGTGACTTAAGGGGGGGTGTGTTTAAATTGGTGCCAAATGGGTAATTTTTTAAGAAGTTTTATTGGCAATACGGGTATTCTCAGCTAAATTTTGGTTTATTTCATGTGATAGGGCAACATTTGAACATGTGTGAAAAAAAATTATATTATATATTTCATCCAAAATATTAAAAAAAAAAAAGGAAAGCTAACTCTGGGTGGAGGCGAAGATGATATACCCTTGCAGTTAAAACCTTATATACACCGCAAACTTCGAATATAGTTGGCTGATTCTTATGAGAATATCATAATATAACCACTTTATTACAATAAAAAATCTAAATAAAATTTCCGATCGTTCAGTTATATGACAGCTATAGGATATAGTCGACCGAACCCTTATGAAATTTGGATCCTGATCAAGAATATATATACTTTATAGGGTCGGAGATGTCTCCTTCACTGCGTTGCACACTTTTGACCAAAACTAAAAATACCCTCTGCAAGGGTATAAAAACGTTTTAAGGACAAAAAGTTAAAGGTATTGGATATATACCTGCCCTTTCACATTCCTTTCAAACCCTAAAACTAAAATCTAAAGATTTGGTTACCAAAGCACTCTCTGCCTTCAACTTCAACATACTTAGTTCTCCCAAATGTAGCCACCGAACATCCGCAAAAACACCAAAAAAGACACAGCCGAGAGATACAGGGTGGTGCCCAGTTGCAGATTTTCAAAGATGCCGCTGGTCAAGAAGGGACCTCTCAAAAGACACAAATGGCCGACCGAGGAGCTCCAGAAGGCCGCCAAAGTTATCATCGACAAGGATACTAAGAAACCCAAGAAGATCAAGTCCAAGGGCAAGGTGAAGGGCAAATCCAAGTCCAAGGTCAAGTCCAAGTCAAAGGACAAGTCCAACGACAAAGTCGCTGCTGAGACAGAAGGTAATGCGGAGGTGGTCGTCGCCTCCAGTGCCTCACGGGTGGAACGAGGCAGCGGAGATGGTCCCCATCAGCCGCGTTCCCAACCGAGTCTGGTGGCTTTGCATTTCTCGGACATCTCGCTCCGGCATTCGGATGTCCAATTGCTGCAGTCCCACAGCGAAGGACTCAACGAACGGCTGGTGGCCTTCTACTTTGCATACTTGCAGCACCGTAGGTATCGCACCGAGCCGGATCTGATATTCCTACCTCCGGCTCTAACGGCCCGGTTGGGGCACATGGATATGCGGGAGCTAAGGCACACGGTCCGCGATCGACGCCTCCACGAGAAGCCTTTTATTTTGCTTCCGTTGTCCACTCATCCAAGGTATACTTTATCCATTTAATATTTTAAAATGTTCCTTTAAAGGCCAATTACAGACCCCATGGACATTGGTCCTTACTGTTGGTTTCCCGGCCGGATGGAAAATTCTTTCATTTCGATTCTCAGGACAATTTCCATACCAAGCTGGCGGGTTCAATGGCGGAAACTTTGCGAGCACCCCTCGGTGCCTGGGACTTTGTGGTAGTCACCGGCCGCTGTCTTCAGCAACATCCCCAGATATATGGTGATCCCCAATCGGGTATCCATCTCTTTTGCATGGCCGAACATGTGGCTGACTATGTGACCCGGTGTGGCTATGCCACCAGTTCCCTACTGATTGCCTGGGAACAGATCGACGCCATGCGCACCAGTCTGCTGCAGTTGATCCAATCTCTAGGAGGTATCCTGCCCCCTAAGAAGGGTCACTAAGAATGCCCATAAAAAAGGCGGTCTCTTACCTTTTATTTTTATTCAATTGTTTTAATTTTTAAAGCATTGTGAAGCAAATAAAAATAAAGGTATTACCTACAAATGTATATAAAGAAAACCTAAGATTTAAAATATCAAAGAATTATCCTAATTATTTGAATAATGTTTAAACAAAATTGTCTCTTGAGAAGGTATAACTCCAGTGACGAATGCACAAATACCTTAAATTTTATAAATTTTAGTGACGAACTATCCTGGTATGGTGGCAAACCCTTTTCATGATTAAAGCATAATTAATAGAACAAAAGCTACCGTGAGAATTCATTGAGTAGCCGACTGACATGTTATCCGATTGAATGATTGATTGATTGATTGATCAACTGACTGACTGAGTGACTGACGGCACTTTAATTTGGTCAAAATCTAGGCCTCTGGTGGCAATTATTAAATCCAGGCCAAGCGAAATGCACTGAAACGCACCGGGTTTTTGGTTCATTGTTCCAGCCACATCCTGCCCAACACACACACCCACACACACAGACTCATACACCTACACCTTCTTGCTAGCCTACACCACATTTGTCTTCATTTTCAGTGGCAACTACACACAGACCCACACCCACTCATACACCCACTCACCTGGCAGGGTGGTGCACAATATCCAGAGACTGGACTTGGTATATTTGGTGATGTAGGCGCCGTCGTCCAGGGCATTGAAGTTGGCCGTACCATTGTAGTTGGAATTGGGTAGCTTCTCCTCCGTGAAGAGCCATTGGGGTCCGGCCAGGGCGGCGATGACAATGGCCACCGATATGCTGCAAAAACCAAAAAAAAAGTAACAATCAAAAAGCATGCTTATTAAGGCACTGTAACAAAATTTTTTACTTAAAATACAAGAAAAAAGTTTGGTTTTGTTTAATTAAAAAATAAACATATATGTATATACATATGTAAAGAACTATTTTAAAATTTTAAACGTTTTTTATGTTTAAATATACAAACTTAGGTATATTTTTAAGTGCTATAAAATACTAAGTTTTATTAATTTTTCAGTGATGTATAATTTTTTCAGTTTCAAATTGGTTTAGAACCAGTTCGAAGTAGATCTAAATCAAAATACTCATGATTTCCCATTACTAATTAAAAATATATATGTATAAACATATAACCCTTTCGAAAACATCTCTCAGTATATTGGAAATTTGCACTTTCTAACTCAAAATCTATGTCAAAAATTTCTCGGGAAACGAGCCACCCAATAAGGGAAATAATCAAGGGAAATGCCATTCCCTACCAGGGTACTCACTCCTCTCCGAAAATTGAAGCATGCATGGAGCTTGTTTGGCCTGATGATTAAAAAATACTTGAACCTATTTGTGGTTATTGGGCTTTCAAAATGCAAAAACAAAAAAACAAAAAGTCCTCCAAAAAAAAAGAAGTTAATGTATGTGCGCTCCACTTTCGCCGCTTTCTCCGCACTCGGTGTGATATGCAAATAAATGTCGCCACCGCCATTCGCCATCGCAGAAAATAAAATTGTTGGCGCTGAAAAATATGCCAAAAACGAAAGAAAACAAAAATGCGAAAAAAGGTCAAAGGTTGGTTAGGTTATTTGGTGCAGAGTTTTTGGCACTACACTATATATATTCGCAGGTATTCATAAATACATTCACAAAAAAACGCCAATCATAATAAATCACTGGTGTTGTGCTCTAGTTGAGTATTTTTTTGGCCCATGAAAGTGTAAACAAACCATTATGCTAACTTTTATTTGTTTGGCAATTGAGGTTTTAGAAATCGGAGAAATAAAGTGTAAATTATATAGGCTATTGATATGCAGAATATATACAATATTTTTTAATAAAAATTTAATTTCAATAATCCTTAATACTCAATAGTGTTGGTAATTCTATTTTTTTTTTCAATAATAAAATCCTAAATGGGCCAGACCATGTGGGTCTCCAAGAAACTAAGCTTTATAGTTTTGTGGGTCTTCTGCTAATTGGCCACACTAATCCAATTGAATACCATTATTCTGGTAACACTGGAAACTTTGGTAATAAAAAAACACATTCCACTTACTCAAAATTACAGTTTTCACACAATAACTTTTAAGATTTAGCCTTAAATTTAAATTCAAAAATTCGTATTAGTCTGAGAATTAGTAGGCCGTATTTAAGTTTCTTATCAAAATCTATAAAGTGTCAAAGTCTAGAATAGTCAGTCATTGATTCCACAACTCACTTCAGTTCCGTACCTGCCAACCTTAAGTTTCGCTTTCGGTTTCCTTATGAGATCCTATTTTTCAAAAAGTTAAATAGATATATTACTATTTTAGTTATTTAGTTCTTCAGTTCAAGATAAAAATTAAGGGAAAAGTAATATAAATAAACAAAAAGCACAGTAAGTGGTACATATATCAAAACAATGCGTAGTCTATTTTCAAGTCGGTACAGTAATTCGCGAAAAGAATTCTATGAACGTTATGAAGGTATATTTTGTTTTGATTATATATATTTTTTTAAATTTTATTTCAATATTTAATAATTTTATGTATGTTTGTTTTTCTGTTTTGCGTGTGTGTTTTTTTTTAGCTGCTCGGATATTGCATCCAGATCTTCCATTGTGTGAGCGACCTGTAGAGCCAGCCCGAAAGGAAATCGTCGACTGCTCGATTCGGCGTCGATACAAGTCCTACAGGGAGCTTGGCAATCAGACGACCGAACAGTGGCAGAGCGAAGCCTGGCTATCCAACGATCGTCTACCGATTGTGGTGCGTCGTTCCATTGAAACCAGGACGAGCAGGGTCCTGTTGCCGCGCTACGATCCTTCCACAGCCACCCACGAGTTCAGTCACAACGGCAGGCCGCAACGAGGTCGTCGTCCCGGCACCTCCGCCATCGCCAAGTGCGCCTCTGATTTCGCAAAGCAAGTGGGCGGTTATCAGTCCAGTCGATCACCATCGCCGGTTCCTGAGTTAGATCCCCTTCGATTGGACTACTCTGACGAGGACGATAACAGAAACATTAATATCGTGCTCTCCGACGATTCCGACATAGAGTTCGTAGAGTTTAAAACCAAGATGCCGTCACCATTCTTTCCGTCATCGCCGTCTTCCGATTCGGATGGCGATGCGGATGCCATGCCGCAAAGCCTGGAACTGGCGCCAAAGGTCAAGGGCAAACGAGGTCGTCCTCCCAAGAATGTTCTACCCGTATACGGCTGTGGATTCTACGACGTCAATGCGAACAAGGAGAACATTCCACCTACAAACTGCCATGATCTGGACACGAACAACAGTCCACGGGCCAGTACTATGAGAGGACGCCCCAAGTTTTTGTGCCCAATTCCAACGTGTGGACAAGTTTTTGCGCTACGGTATGTAATCAATTCTTCTGATATGGTTTTTATTAACGCTTTCGTAAAAATTATTTTGTAAACATTAGTAAACAATGTCTAGTATGGCTGTAGTTGTTGAGAAAGCTTATTATAACCTATCGATATATCGTACATGTTTATGTTTTGATTTTTTTTTGTTTGACATTTTCATTACAACACTTCTAATTTTTTATGAAATTGTTATAAGAATAACAAATTATAAAAATATTGTATAAAGTTTGGTATAAACATTACCCAGTTTGGCTGTTGCCAAATATTTTGTAACTATTGTCCAGAGTGGCAGAGGATCTTCATTTTAAAAAATCTTTTCGAAATCAATATGGTCTATTGTGATTTGTTTTATGTCTCTTTATGTTGTTTGTTGTTTTTATAAACTTGTCATTTTACCAAAATATTGTTGTGTAAATAACGATCAGCTGTTTTTTTTCAAATCTCTCATCTCAAAGCTTATCGATATAAGCGACATATTTGTATTAGCTTGTATCGCTTTTTAGTTTTGTTATTTAATATGTAAATTGGTATACATATATATTTAATCTTTTACAAAAAAAATTTAAATTTAAACCATTTAAATATTGATAAACTCAATTCTTTACTTCTCTTCAATATTTTAAAGAAAACTTTTAGCTCTAACCGATAGTTGTTTAGCTTTCAATGAATAATGGATACCATCTCTATAGACTCTTTAATCTGATTTTTATTCTAAAAAATTCCCAAATATGTCTAAAATTAATCAAAATTATTTCTAAAAACATAAACATGGATAATAACTAATATAAATCTCCCCTAAAATAGCCGTTTGTTGTACAAACATCAACGTGATGCTGGCCACCACAACTGGACACACAAGTGCGATAAGTGTGGCCAGATCTTTCGCACGGCAGGCTTCAAGAGGATGCATGCCGAGGCAGCCTGTGAGCGCAATTTGTTGAAAAAGAAACCGAAAACCAAATGAAATTAAGCAACTTGTATAGTAGGGGAACAATGACTGAATAAAACGTAATACACTTCCCCAATACCTTTCAATCTCATTTTCTATATACAAATGCCACCTACACTCGAAGCCACTAACTTTTTCAAGATTTGTTGTCAATATCCCCAGAGGTAAGTCAGAAACGTTCATATTCGTAGTATAAGTATTTCTTTTCTTGCACTGCACTGTCGTGCGAAATAGTTTGCGAACAAATTAAGCCCACTTTGCAGTGATTTGTGTCGCTAACACAATTATTTGTCAAGCAACAAGGATGAAGGCGGCGGTAGCGCAAGGATGTCTTGTCTCGTTGCCTCCTACCGACTGACAAGGACGACCCAGAGCAGAGTGAGAAGCTGCCTTTGCCAGGCAGGCAGGTCCTGTCTTATGCCTTCTCCTGGTGTTGTTGTCGTTCACGGGGCACGTGAAACGTGGAAATCGCTCCACTGACATTCCTTTAGTTTTTCTTTAAACAGAAATGAGACGAAGCAAAGGAAATTGCCAAGAATATATATATGGTATATATATATATATATATATATATATGTATATCTTGTGCATATATATACTCGTATATGTGGGCGCTTTTTGCGAGAACTCAAGCTTTTGGAATTCCAGCTGTTTATCATCAGTTTTAAAGGATTCGACAATTCGAAGGAGTGTTCTTTATTCACTCTATTTTTTTACAATAGGAATTTCTTAAATTTTTTTTTTGTAAATATAAAGAATCTGACATGTGACCCCTAAAGTGAAAAAGAGCTGAAAACTTGCCAGCTAAACTCTGCGGCATAATGTGCCTCCCAACACTTGAAAGTTGGCCAATAAAAAGTAAACGAAACGGAAATTGGTAACTGGGGTATGTTTTTTTTTTCATTTTATTTTTAATAAAATTATTATAAAATAAAAAACAAGTAGTAGAATTAGAGTAATGTAAAGTAAAGAGCACTACGATATATATACCTTCTGTCAAAAAAGTACCGGGACTGGATTAATTAAAACGCCTGTGCTAAACCGATATCGGAATTTTTTTTTGGTATGTTACTAACACTGTTCTGCATTACTAAGTAAAGTTTGAGCGCGATCTGTGAAGTAGTTTGTTTACAGTCGCTGGTTACGTCAGTCTATGTTCTGATTGTTCTGATATCCTTATAAAAATGTGTAGATTAAATCACAAAAGTAAGTCTATTAACTCTGATTAAACTAAAAATTCAAGTTAATATTAATTTTTATTTTCAGGTCTACGATAGTTACAGGATATAGTCCTTATTCCGGATCGTTTCAACTTTTATGCTCCACGAAAAGACATAAAAGCTGTGTACAAAATTTCAAGACAGTAGCTTTCAAATGTAAGTCCTAGCTTACATTAAGAACAATTTGGCGGACAAACGGACACACGGACAGGCTTATAACGACTCCAAAAAAGAACCTTTTGAAAAATATTTACACTTTACACGTCATAGATATTACTGATTTGATTTTAAAGTTTTGAAATTATTTAACTAAACTCTTAAACTAATTAATTTTAAATAACTATATAATTCTGATTCTTGGACTTACCTGGCTGCCACGGGTGTGAGTAGCCACAGGTAGCCTCCACTGGTGTTGACCATATTGCTGATACCGCCCTGATGATCGGGCATGCCCACAATTCCGCCTCCCAAATGATGTTGCTGTTGTCTTAGAATATGTTGCTGCTGCTGCTGCTGATGTTGCAATTGTATTTGCTGTTGTTGCTGTTTCTGCTGTTGCTGCTGCTGATGTTGCAATTCATTTGGTGTTTTGTAATTTCCAAAGCCAGTTACTTGTCGCTGTTGCTGCTGCTGTCTCCTGTTGTTGCCAATATTGTTGAGTTGCAGATCACTGAAGCTGCCAGCCATAGAACCAAATCCTGTGGCAGGAATACTGCCAGAAATGGTGTTGATCACTCCAGTTTGTTGATGTGGCTGGGAAACGAATCGCTGTCCCCTCGGCAATGTTGCATATGGCGATTGTTGTGGTTGAAGTTGCTTCTGTGGCTGTTGCTGTTGCTGCTGCTGATGTTGAGTTGAATTACTTCTCTCTATAGAAGCACTAGTTGTTAGTTGATGCATTGCCAAAGGTTTTGGTTGCGACTCTTGACTTTTTGTATTGGAATTCGAGTTATTTTGATTGCTAATGACTTTCAAGTTCTTGGCATTATTATAGGGATTTTCGCTATTAATGCTGTGCGTTGAGGCCACACGAAAGACATTCGGCACCGAAGGATAGTCCCTCATTTTTAACACTCGAAGTTTTCACAGAAAAAAAATAGAAATACTTTTCTTTGACTTTTCAAACAGCCCGCCAAAAAACCCAAAAATGCCAAGTATTTGAGAAATATCTTGTTTTATTTTTGATGACACGTCCGTTGGGCTGAAGAACTTTCACTCGACTAAAAGGTTTTTTGGTCCTGGCCAAAGGACTCGCCTCGACCAAACGAACCGAAACGAGGCAGCTTCGGCTCTCCGGTCGCCGATGTGGCTGTTGTTGCTGTTGTTGCTGTTGCAGCTTCACTGGCGATTATAAAACCAAAGCCAATAGCAACACTAAACATTTTTATATCTTTCAACGCAAATTTTATCTCTTTAAAAAACAATTTTTAAAAAATGTTTAGAATAACTTCTTTTATTTAAAAATCTACAAAGAGCATATTTATCTTTTGCAAGTTTTCAAGGTCCCTTTTAAAAAACCTAATCCTTAAAGCTAGCTTTTTAAAAATTACACAGCTAAAAAATTTTGTTAGCAAACATTTCTCTTTTTTAATTTTAGTCACCTTGTTTGAATTTTACTAAAAATACGTTCATATCAATTATGAAATGAAACAAATATTGAAAATATTGTACGAGCTGTATGAATATTAATATTAAAATACATAAAATAATAGCACAAGTTCATTAAAACAAACACACTGTAAAAATAGGCCTAGAGTTAAGGTTTTAGAGGAAGTTATTATTTAAAGAAGTTTCTTGAAAATGCAAATTTCATTTATAAACTAAAGATTTAATAAGGAAATTGAACAAAGATTGAATAATGATGAGTTATATTGTTTATTTCTTAGTATTTTGTCATATTGAGTCAAAAAATGATTACCATACGATTATTTAAAGTTTTTATTTAAAAGTGTTTAAAATAAAGTTTTGAAATTAAAGTTGTAAAATATAGATAGAATATTTTAGGAAAGTAGCCTTTTTAAAAGAGAGTGCTTTGTGAGGTTTTTGTAAAAATTCGTTTGCCTTTTCTTCTCCTTATAGCTAATAATACCTCCATTTATATTTACAATTTAACTTAAATTATTTAGCTTAAACAGACTACTTATGTATATACAAGTTAAATTCATTAATCAGTTACTATTATATTAAGTCAGTTATTTAGTTATTATTATATAATTATAATAAAAAGAAAAGATAAGGTATATTTTTCTTTTCAAATTCAAAGTAAAAATTAGTATTGAGATACAAAGTTTGAAAATAATGTAAATCACTTGTCGATTTTATAAGAAAAATATTAATAAAATTCTTTATAGACAAAAGTTTTAATGCCTAAAATATTAAAAATATAACATTTTTACACTAAATACCAAATTTAAATCTGTTATTATATACTTTTTTTTATTAATAATACTAATTCTTAAACCTTTTATAACCTAATCTAATATTTTAATATTCATATCTCTAATATTTAGTAATATAATTTCTCTCAGTGCTTTCCTAGGGCAACTAACAAGCAGTATGCAACAATAGCAACAACCAGCAGACGTTTGCAACTTCCGTTGTTAGCTAAAAGTGACTTCCGGTCGCTTGGGGATCTAACTGTACTTGTCTATCTGTATGCGTGAATAGGTGTGCACCTATCCCCCGATATAGAGAGGATATAGACGAGTCTACAAAGGTGTATGTATGCGTGTGTGTGTGTGTGTTGCACTTAGCTGCAAATCTAAGCATTTAATGCAAGTCACTCCATACCACCCACTCAACCACTCACTTGCTGGATTCCGGATTCTTCAGGTCTCTGTGCAACTCTCGTTTATTTAATTGAATTCCCACATGTGATTGAGGCAAGTTCGTGCCATGATTGTGCCACATTAAAAGGGTACTACCACTGCCACCCAATCCAGCCATCAGGTAGGATGCTACCTGACCCCCACTTCCCTGTTGGCCAAAAATTACCCACTACCTTTCGTTCTGCTTCTTCTGTTTTTTGCCTCGAAGCACCTTGTTAAGTGCACTGCCGAGCTCCACAGCTCCACAACTGGTTGCCAACGAAGTGAAAGTGTGGAATTGCCGAGTGGCACAGTCAGTGGCAGTACCAGTGGCAGTGGCAAAAACTCAGCCATCGCAGGACCAAGACAAAGGCTCAAGATTAAGCCGGTCAGAAGGGCACTAAAAAAAAAAAATCAAGAAACTAATTTCATAAAAAAAAACCTTCGATTTCCTAATATTGGATGATCTCTCTTCCTTAACTTCTAAAGGTAATAATCTAGAAAATAAGCTCTACATACTTTTAAACTTTTAAAATAATTTCAATTATTCATACCAATTAGTCAGCTTAGGAATGTCAGAGGCAAAATACATACATGCGGTTTATAAGTAATTCAGGAAATAAAACAAATTATTTAAAACTTAAAATACAAATTGTGAGATCCAAAAAAAATACTATAATTGTTAGACTACTTATTATTCTATTTAATACTAAGCTATTTAGTTGAATAAATAACCGTCGAACTAAGTATTCGAATCATATTGTAAGTTTTTGAATTATTTTATTAAAAATAATAGTATCTCTTTTCTTTTCTTGCTCAAGAAAAGTAAATAATTTTATTAATAACATATTTTAATAATTTGAATTAATTACAAAAGAATCTTGGTTTTATAACTTAAAATATAAGAAAACACAAAAGTTCAAGGATGGACAATTGCTTTAGTTTCTTTGAAGCTATGACTATGCTTTAAGCATTCCTTTTTTTTTTTAACTCTTTTTAAATATTTTAAATTAGTAGGAAATATATTATAAACAAATACAAATAATATTATTATTCTACCCCAATTATGTTCCCTCTTAAATTACCTTTAAATGAAAAAACTAATAAAATGTTTATTATATTTTTCTCAGTGCCCATATCGCATATAAAGAAACTGGCAACAGTTGAGGATTCCATCAAAATTGGATTGGATGATGGCGGCCGGAAGGATAGTGTACATATGGGAGCCAGATGTAATCGTCAAACAAAAATTCAGCCGATTATTGCAGCAAAAAGGAAGAGCCATTTACTTGAAATTTGCCAAAAATTTGTGGCAATTTATTGTAATCGCAAAAGTCAATATTTAATCGTTTATTACCAGTATTAGGTTGTGTGTTTAAACAAAAGCATTTATTTATTTAATTGATAATATTTGAAAAGCAAACATATTAGTAAAAATCTTAATTAAATCTCGTTTTCCTTCTCACAGGCTTAAACAAAAAAGTATTTTTTTTTTATTTTGGCCAATTTAATGCCAACAAGTAGTTCAACATCAGCTTTAATTTGCCATAAAATTAATCTCTCTTATCCGGCTCTGGTTTTTGTGTGTCCTGTGTCGGGCGTCCTTCGTCTGGTTTTATTTTGTCCTTTGGGCCCACTACCCCGTAAAGTTTGGCCTCTCTATTTCAGCATTTAAATACATAGAGCCCAGAGTTTACAACTTTTTCAAAAACTTTTCATCTAAATGCGCTGCAAATGCTGGCAACACTTTTCTCGTTCTTTTTTTTTCATTTTTTTTTTACTAAATATTTTTTTCTACATTTTTGTTATACTGTTGCATTTTGTTTTACACAAAAGTGCTGCTAAAAAAAAAAGACACAAAATAAACTAATAAAAATTCTTATTTTTTTGTTTGTGTTTTGCCTTTTTGGCAGTTTACTTTTAGCCCATTTTTTTTCTAGCCAACTTTTTGTTATTTTTTGTGTGTGTTTGTGTGTTTTTGTGTCAAATACTTGCCAATCCACACACCGACAGACTAGACCAAGTTTTTAGTGTTTAATTAGTTATTTAAATAGTTTTTCTTGTTCCCTAGCTTGGCAATAAATGAAGTTATTTTTGAATATTATTTTTTGTGGTAAAATATATATTTTTTTTACATTTTTTAAGTCACATATTATTGCCCACTCATAGCTGTCAGCAAGCTAATTGTATTCATTTATTGCCACAGTTGTTGCTTCTGTTTTCGTTGCATATATGGCTGTGTTGTGTCTCTTAATTTCCACCACAGTCTTTGCCGCATTTTGTATATTTTGGCTAACATTTTTTTTTAGCTTTGGCCTTTGTACAGAGGTCTTACTGCCAATTAAAATTATTCTTTTGGTTTTAGCCTTAAAGTCTAACCATCTCATGAAATATTTGACAAAAAATATAAAGTCTTAAAGAAAGAAAAATCTTGTCATGAAAAATGAAATCAAGGCTAAAATACATTTTGGGCCTAAACCTATTTAAGCTAAGCCAAATAAATAATAAATTTTTTCAATACTCTTCCACAACTGTATTATAATAATATTCACCGAGATCTACAAAAAATCTGTTATGGAAACCCAAAAACCAATTTTTTATGTAAAAAAATCTTACAACTTTGTTGTGGCTATTGGATTTTTTCCATTTTTTTCTGGTTTTTTAATTTTCCAACACAATTGTCATTCATGTAATTGGTTTTTTTTTGTGTCTCTGACGATTCTGGTTATTGGCACTTTGGGCCAAAAAAAAAATCACATAAAATGGAATAAATCACATTTTTTCCCCAGCTGTTGTTTTGATAGACTGCTTATATATTTTTTCCGACAATGTTATTGGATCCCCTTAGTTGCACTTGCAACATGTCCTATTATTTCTTGTGTTGCAACTTGCTTTTATGGTACACTACTGCCACTAATGCCCTTGTCTGTTTATTTTTGGCAGAAACTTCAGAGAGGGCCTTTTTTGCGGTCGCTTTTTTGTCATTTTGGCCAAAAGACAATGTTTGCAAGTGGTCCTACTCCTACTATCCTACTATTTTACCAGAAAATAGAGACTAACTTTGGTGCACTTCAATATTTACTTTTACAAGGAGAAGGGTTTTATTTAAAAGGTATTCTTTTTTGTCGTGTTTTTTTACTCTTTCAAGAGGCTTTAAAACTGGTGTAGAAAAGTTCGAAAGGCAGAAAGGGGGGGAGTCATGTCCGTTTGTCAATTAATCTGAGTCTAGGATCACAGTCTCAGTTTAAAAGCTATAGAATTCTAAGACCCTTTAAAGTTATTTTTTGTAGTCTAGAGGCTGTACTAGTACTAGTACTGTCCATGTGTTCCTTTGTCCGCTTATGTATTTATAATTAAAACAGTAACTTATAAAACTTATTAAAACAGAAATAGTTTTACTTAGTTTCAAGATAAATGCCACTTAAATACTTTAAAACCTCCTTAAACCTCCATTAATATATCCAAAATAATTAAAATATTCTCCGTCTGTCCGCTTGTCCTCCGAAAAGTTTTCTAGGCAAACCTTAACTCTAATTTAAAAGCTAAAAACCTTAAATTTTTTTAAACAAATCTAAAAAGAGTGTAAAAGCTGCTTCTATAGCCAAAACTATCTTTTCTTACCCTTTTTTTCACTTGTAATGAAGCTTTAAACTTGGTCTTTAGTTTTCTTTTCTTTCTGTCATCATTTTTTGGGACACTTTGTCAGCTTCAGATTTAAGCCGAGTTCTGGCCTGACGAAATATTGATTAAATCTCGGATATGGGATGGTTTTATTTAAAGGATATCTCATCTAGCATAGTGACACACATCGACCGCAGTAACTGGGACTGGGATTTGAGGTCCTGTGTGTTGACTGATTAGCGCCTTTGCCGCTGATGTTACCAGTCCCTGTTACTGTAACTCTCATGTTTCGCCCGTTTCTGCTGTGAAAATTGATGAGCAATTAAGGTTATTGACCAACCACCTCCCAGCGAAGGGTTAATTTAAGGTGGCCGAACGGTGTGGAAGGGTTCTGGGTAGGTGGGGGTTTGTGACTGTGTCAGGGGTTGGAGGTGTAATGCTTCGCTGCCTTCCCGACTGACCCAATAGCGCATATATACATACGGTATCTAGGTATGCACTGTGAGAAATTTATGAGTGTAAATTATAAACAAAATCGGTAATACTAAGAAGTACCTCTTTTTAACCTATACTTTTGCTATAATTTCTCAAAATATATTTCTTTTAAAATAAAACTTTAAATATTTAATTTCTAAAGTAAAAACTAATAAATATTATACCCTGTACTTCTAGTATACTACGTAAATGTCCTCTTCTCAACCAAAAATTTTCCTTCAAGTGCTTTTGGAAATCGCTGGAATCCATCGAAGCGACAACAATGCCGATGGTATGCCAGAAGGATGAAGCCATAACCAGACCACTTGCTTTTCCTGCGCCGGATGGGAAGCGTCAAACGGAAACGGAAGCAATTGACTGAGTGACAGGTAGACCCACCTCCCATTTACCCTGTGACCCCTCATTTGCTTACCACACACACCTCACCTCATCTTTTTGAAGCCAACCCGCGGAAGGTTGATTAAAATTAACTAATTTAAGATGAACGACTAACCTAAATCCATAGTGAGCAAACGAAAGGAGCAACAGGATGGCGTGGATTGGCAGGATTGCCAGGGTTGCAAGGATTGCCAGGATTGCAACTTCAATTGGAAGTGGAGCGGAAGCAGAATGAGGCAAACAAACGAAATGAGCAAAGGCGGGCCAGCCTTGCAATTAATTTTGCACATAAACTGCATGTGAGTCATTCGTACCTCCCCAACCCGCTCTGTCCCTGCGGCAAAGTTCATAAATTAATCAAATAAAATTGAGCATTTAATTGTCGACACAATCCAATAAATGTAACCGGAGAGTCGTGTGCCAAAGGGAAAGTGCTTTATTTGATTTTCCGAAAAAAAACATTCAATTTCATTGGAAATAATGGTCCAAAAAACACAGGTAGCTGTTCAATATTGACACGGCTTTCAGATTTACAGATTTTTCCGATTTTCAGGCTCTCAGACTCATTTATTTGCATATTTTTCTGCAAACGAAAAATTAATATAAACAGAAATTGTTTTTTTTTTATTTTTAATTATTATTAATTTGAACGATATACGAAATCACAATACTCTCTTCATTGTCAAAATTGGTGCAGAGTTTTTATAGTTGCTGCTTACTGCACATATGGCATATAGTTGACCGATCCTTTTAGGAAGTTAAATACCAATTCGATATAATGTGAATTATGAAGTTTCAAGCTTGTATCTGAATTATTAGCTACAGGATATATGGTTATAACCGACCGATCCCGGTCGTTCGACTTACAATGTTCTACGTGCAAAGGACATTAAAAAGAATATATATTTTTCAAAGTCTCCCACAACAGTTACAAATTGATTATTCTTGTATTTAAACCATAAAATAACTTTTAATTACTTTTCAAATACAATTAATAAACTTAAATCACATAAAACCTTATCAAAACTAAACAAAGTTTCAATGACAAACATCTCTCTTCCAAAAAGTAATTTGAAACTATATCCCTGAACAAATCGCATCTGTCTGCTCTAAAAATAACATCAAAAAATAAAGTCAAACTCACAAAAAAAAAAAAAAGAAAAAGGCTAACTACTACATTTAAAGTTTGTATGACCTATTTATTGGAAAAGCAAAGAACTCGATTTACGGGGGTGGCTTTTTTATACCCTTGCAGAGGGTATTATAATTTTGGGCAAAAGTGTGCAACGCAGTGAAGGAGACATCTCCGACCCTATAAAGTATATATATTCTTGATCAGGATCACCTCCTGAGTTGATATGAGCATGTCCGTCTGTCCGTCTGTCTGTCCATCTGTCTGTCTGTTTCTACGCGAACTAGTCTCTCAGTTTTAAAGCTATCGTCTTGAAACTTTGCACACACCCTTCTTTCCTTTGCACGCAGTATATAAGTCGGAACGGCCCGGATCGGCCGACTATATCCTCTATGGCAAAAGTTTGGTGTTTTTAGACTAAAAGAGTTGCGATTTTCTGTGTATTCTATTTGTGGCAGAATAATATGACACACCAACTTTCATAAGGAACCTATTTAAAGTACTTCGCTTGAGAATCGGCTGAGAATTGGGAAAGATATAGCCATCATTGTAGACCCTGTAGGGGAAAACTCCATTTTCAAGGGATCTGACACGTGTGTCCTATGTACTGAACACAAATATCTTGAAATTTTGGCCGAAAATCTGGGTTTTTGACTTTCAATTGCCTTTAAAACTCGACAGCTTTACCTGAGGCATCTTATCCTTTAACTAATGCAATTTCATTTTTTCAGTTCAGATGATTCTGAGTCTAGTTATAGGTTACACCGAATATTGCCTGTATCTCACTTAATTTTAAATATTTTTGAATGAAATTTAAATTCTTAAAAAAGTGTCTATTTTTCTCCAATTCAACTATACCCCCCTCAAGTCACTTCCCACAACTAAACCAGAGTCGATTGTTTATTTTTCAAAGACGGAGCCTTGGAGCCGATCCTGAAATGTCTGAAATTCAAAATTTTGGTTTCCGACCTTCTCAAACGTTTTTCAGTTAAATTGGAAATTTTATTTAAAATTAAAGAAATATAAGAGTACAGTTTATTTTATTAAAATAATTACATTTTAATGCATATTTATAATATTTATATTTTCTAAAAATGTTTCATTTTCCAAGTCCGTTTTAAAATTGTGTTTGCTTTTTTTATTCTGCTCTTCGGATGTACATGTAAATGTAAATGTCATAATTTTCGACACTTCTAAAAAGTGCAGAACTGAAATAAAAGAATTTAAAAATTATTTTAATTTAGTTATTTTAGAAATTTTCAGTTGGAGATGAAACAAAATGAAAAACCAAATTAGAATACACACCTTATAAAAGTATCGAACCACCAGCCAGTGCCAAATTCCTTCGCCATATTACGATCAGGAACTCCATCCTCATCTCTATCGAAGGTCGAAAATTTGGAGCCCTGCATAGGACTCATCGCGCCGTATCCATCACAATTGCCAATACTTTTCACCTTGTACCCGTCGCTTCACCCGTGCAATAGATTGAGCCCAATAAAGAAATCATCGTCAATATCAGTTCCGACATGGCCGAATCCACTTTCATAATCTTCATACGTGCGATTAAATATTTTTGAATAAAACGATTTCCTATAAACAGTCAACCATCCAGATCCATCCTCCGAATCTGAATAACAAACCACTTTAAACGGGTCGGAACCTGGTAGTTGTATTTCACGGAGGACTCCTTTTTCTTTTTGGTTTCGTGGACAAGGATCTGGAAAATCTAAAAAACTCGTTTTTTTTATTTTGCAAATAACTGGGTTCTTTCGACTTACCTATGGTTTCTGTTTTGGGCGTCGTCTCAATATTAGTATGAGGCAATGGAGTTGTTGGGATCTCTCCAGTTTCGACTTCCGATTTTGTTGGATTATTTTCATGAAATTCTTCAATCTTTAATATTTTTCCCAACTTATTTATGTTTTCGCGGAACTTAGTCATCGTTGCAAGTTCAATTTTTTCTTGTAGTTCCCTAATTTGATCTTTTTGGAGGTCGATTTCCTTATTTTTCAGATTTATTAGATTTTCAACTTCCAGATGCTTTGAATGCAACTGCTCATTTTTAACTTTCTCATCACTAAGTTGACTCTGCACTTCCCAATGCTTTCTCACCAAGTCCGAATAACTCTGTTGGCATTTGGATATCTCAGATTGTTTTAGATCCTCGCTCTGCAAATCCGAGTATTGTTTCTGAAGTTTCGAATAGTCTGTCTTGCACCTTAGGAGTTGGACATCCTTCTTGTGGCACTTCTCGAAGTACCGTTGCACATTAATGGTCTCGCACTCTTCTTCCAGGGGATGGCAGGTCTGTGGAATTAAAAATTAAATTACTTTTTAAAATAAAAACACTCAAAAAAGGTATAACTTACTTCTTCCGATCCCAAGGAGGCGGAAATTAGGGTAATGGCAGAAATGAGGGCCACGGGGAAGATCATCTTGTATTTTTTTGAATGAACTGAATTTTCTACTGAAAGAGTCTCTGGGAATATTTCAACTGATGCTGCGAGTCTTCAAGCTCCGGCTTTTTATAGCCATCCTTGGCCATGAGCTTGAGCTTTAGTTTCTGATAAGAAATTGGGAATTACCCACACATATAGAGAAGCCAAAACATTCCACAGACAGAATTCGTACGGAAGGGATGTCAAAGGTTATTGGAGATTAGAGAGAGGTGATTAGCAACAAGATCCGGTTTATGGTCCTAGCTTTTTCTTCTTGGTATATATTAAGGCTATATATGTACATAATATATAAGCAATAAATTATTTTTATATTACCTTACAACGTACATGTTGTATGGTCTAATTAAGTCTTAAAACTTTGATTTGCACGCAGTATATATGTAAGTCGGAATATAAGTGATCGGCCGACTGTATCCTATAGCTGCCATATGTCTGATTGACCGGAAATGCCATAAGTTTGGTGTTTTAGACTAAGAGAGTTGCAATTTTATATACATAGGTTCTATTTTTGGCAGAATAATATGACATACTAAATTTCATAATCGATAATGGTATTGGTTAAAAATACCAAATTTGGTATCTTTGAAGATAGAATCTTGTCACTTTTTTTATTTGGTATTTTAATAAATTTGTTTTAAAATAAAGTTCGAATAACGATCGCCCAATTATATCCGATATTCGAGATCTACATATGTATATCCAATCTTAACTGCAAGAGTACATCAACTCTGCTCGAAGTTAGGTTTCCTTTCTTGTACATTAAGAATCGGCCGACTATATCTTATACCTGCCATATAACTGAACGATCGGAAATGGTTTTTGGTAGAAATACCAACTTTGGTATGTTTGATGATAAAAGTTTGGGACTTTTTTTAGATTTTTTATTATAATAAATTGGGTTATAGTATCATATTCTCATAAGGATCGGCCAACTATATCCGATGTTTGCGATATAAATCCGGTTTTAACTGCAAGGGTATATAAACTTCGGCTCCGCCCGAAGTTAGCTTTCCTTTCTTGTTTTTTTGTAACACCCCTTTGGACACGTGACCAGAGCGACAGGATATAAATAAAAATAAAAATAAAGCTAGAGTCCGTCAAACGTAAAACTGGGATTAAGCACCCACCTCTCCTGACATCCTGTACTGCCATATAGCAGTATACATACATATATAGCTAGTACATACAACATATACAAACATATATACATATATAGAGTGTAAACCTACAGGCCAGTGCACAAAAAGCGCTTTGAAGTCTTCGCCGGGCTCCATTTTGAGTTCAGTTAATTAACTTGGCCAACTCCCCTGAAAATATGCAACAGTTTACCTGCCACAAAGTCCCTTCCGCCTTTATATTTCTCTCCTTTTTTTCTTCACTCTTTGTAAAAAATGCAGCAATGACCTCGACTATAACAAAATAGTGCTTCTTAAATAATCGTTTCAAAAAAAAGATGATTATAATGCAAAAAAATAGATGATAGAACTTGCAATTTGAATATTTTAACAGGTAAGGGAAGTTGGTTTTTGGGTTTTAGGGCAAAGATGAAACTTGATTACTCTACCAATGAGCCTTCAGATCTTATAAGTTTATAATATTGTTTATAAGAAATCATAATAAGCAATTAAATTGATTAGACGGAGAACTCCTTAATTCTAAGACCTTACAAATGCAAAAACCTGCTGTTGAATTTCGCAAAGCCTCAGGCACAAATTTTAAGTGAGATCTGTTGCTACGAAATTTAATATTTTTGGTATTATTTTGGGTACAATTTTGGGATGATTCGGGTAAATTAAATAATATTTTGAATCATGAATCATGAAAAAATGTTTATAAATTTTTTTAAACGTTTATGTATAGACGTTATACTATACATACAATATATAGTATAGTTTAAACAAAAAAAAATGTAAACGAAAAAAAAGTTTAACTTCTAACGCCCTTTAAAGTACGGCGAGTCGGAAAATATTTGCAAGCGAAATTACAATTATAAAAATGTTTAGTTATTATTTAAATTAAAATTTGTAAAAATAAAATTCCTAAAGCCTGAAAACAGATAAATATCGTAAGCAATTATAAATTACATATTTAGAACACATATAAAACTTCAAAAAGATTATATTAATTGAAGTATATATTGTAAAATAATATTAGATCTTTTTATTGGCCTTTCCCATATATACCCTTTTGTTAACCAATTTTTTTACAGTTCATTGTAGGATGTGCAGACGACAGATGAGAGACAAGAGAGAACAGACCAGAAAGGACATTGAAAAACCGCATCAAATATTAAAAATGTCGTTTCGGCAAACTTGTGGAAAGTCGTGGCCTGGCCCCGGGCGACACTGGGCATTGTCCTTGCCTTTTTGCGGTGCAAACTTTGGCCAGGATCTGTGTGTGGTGTCCTTTGGTGGTCACTTGCATGCATTAATTGCCTCTTCTCGCAGCTCGAAGATGCAAAGCCCCAAGGCCACTCAACTAGAAAACTGAATATGAATTATGAATTTGAATTAAGATTTAAGAAAGAAAGAAAAATCAATACCATACCAATTTTTAACCACGTACCCACCCACATACAGTATATAAAATAAAATACATTTTATTATGAGCGCTGTTAGCTTTTTTATTAAGTTTGTCTTTATTTCATGTCAGTTTCAATTTTATTTTTAATTATGCTCAAAGGTACGAAATACATTGAACTATTTGGTTTTTTTTTTAATATGGGTTCTTGGTTTCAGTGTACTGCACTAAATGTGGATCTGTTTTTAGTATTAATCATTTAATTATTTATTATTAACTTACATGAGACAAACGTTGGGATCGATACAATACAAATACACAAATACAATTAAAAAATGTTTATTTTTATGTTTTTGTCTTTTCTATGGAAAATGAAACCAAAATTTAAATTCCTTTCGTTTTTTGTTTTTCAAATAAAATTAAAGGAAAAACAACACTTGAAACCACCATGGGCTTAGGGGGGGTTAAGGGGGTAGCTGCATTTATTTTGCATTTAATTAATTTTCTGTTTTTGCTGCTCAATTTCATTTTTGCTTTTTCGTTATTTAGTTCACCTAGCTAAACTTTAAATGGTTTCAACAAAATTAATTTTTGGAGGAAACACACGCACACACACATACACTAAGCAACACACACATTTAAACTATCACACACACACATGCAGGCAACAATGGCAAAAAAATATATAGAATTTCAAACAAATTGTTGTTTGTGGGCGGAAACCAAACATTTTCAATTGCATACTTTTCGGCTGGATACGATTTACAGTGACTGCCAAAAGTTTTCAGCCCGGAAATTAAAAAATAATATTCGTTTTAGGCAGGCACTATATATGTATATGTATATATTTTTTTTGGTTTAAGATTTCAATGATTTCTTTAAAGATTTTTAGCTTTCAGATTTTTTTTTAGCAGGGATTAGCCACAAACAAATCAAGTCGTATATTTAAATATATATTTTTTAGTTTCATGTACATATCGTGTATTGATTTATTTTTTGTATATTGTACATTCAACGTTTATTTTTATTTTTTTGTTTTTCTTTTATACTTATTCTTAACTGTAATAAAAAAATACATTTTTCTTCGTTTCATTTAATTCATAAACACTTCCGTCTAATTAATTTTCTCTCATCTAATCCATAGTTATAGCGTAATACAATTTGCAACTAGACTAAATTTAATTAATATATAATTTGTGTATATATAATTTCATTCTCTTATTTTTTTAGTTTTTTTTTTATTGAGAGTATTCCACTCGTAGTTTAACTGAACAAATATACAAAATTGAAACTTAAAAGAGAAGGTCACATTAAAACTTGTGGTCACATTATTAAAAACAAATATGGCATCAATTTTGGCTTTTATTTTCTTATAAAAATACTCAAAGCTTACATATTTTAAATGAAGAATTTATAAAAGAATGGAATACCCACAATTAATAATTTTCTTTTAATACATATATATTTATATATAAATAATTCTGCTTTCGTTTTCTGTTTGGTTTTTTGCTGCTGGTTTCCATATTCTTCTGTTATTTTTGTATTGACTAAAATATACATCTAATAATACTCAAAAACACAAGTCTAAATATTTCATAGCGATCCTTCTCAAACGGCCGTTTCATGATCAGTTTCATCGATCCTTCCAAGGCGCCAGGAATTCGGATCTCCAGCTAAAATATAAAATACACAGAGAGAAACGGGTGACGTTATGAGAAAAAACATTTTTTTAATATTGTTTCGAAGATGAAGCGGGCAGTGGTAAAAAAAATAAGAAAAATTCCTTTCCAAAATAACACTTAATAACATAGGCATGCACAACTCTAAAAGCACAAATCTTTTTTTGTTTTTGTTAAAAAAAACATTAAGCAGGCACACAAACGGTCACACTACAGAAATGTGAAAGAGATAACGGCAATGACAGAAAAAGAGACTGGGACACACACAGACTAACATACATACGCTTTGCTGTTGAATGTTTATTTTCTTAGCTTTTTGGTTTTTAACCCTTGCAGAATATCAAAATAAAGTTACTTTGAAAATTTACAAGCTCGATCACACTGAGTTTGAAAAAAACGGTCACATTTCTCACAGGATTTAAACCCTGGTCACCTAGTTAGTTTTTATTATTAACGTTTTGATAAAATATAACTCTGGTCATACTGTTTTTTTTAATTTTTGATTAATTCTACAAGGGTTTTCGTAAATCTTGTCTTTCGGTTTCCGAAACTAAAAATCCTAATGGATCAACTTACCACAATCGTAATACTTCGATATCCGGGGCAGGGCTGTTGTTGGTTGTTGGATTTTGGATAGTAGGTGTTGTTGTTGGTTGTTGGAGTTTTGTTGTTGTTGTTGTTGATTAACGTTTATGATGGAGTTTGATTTGGAACGTTTACGTTAGACATACAACAAAATTATAGTCACCGAAAAAATAGAAAATCAAATACATAAATTTCATCACAAATCAAACGTACAATATACATATTAAAAATGTTGTTAAACATTTTGTTTTTAGATTTTCTAAAAAAGGTAAAAAATCAGTATAGGACAAGGGAAAACACAATATAATTGGAAGTCAATGGTTGAAACTCTCTATTAATTTTGTAATCAATCACGTGATTAAATATAACGCCACGCTCCGTGATTTATAAATACTAAATGTTCCCGAAATAGAACACAAAAATTAACACTTGCCAGCTAATTAAAGTCTAATCAAACAAATGAAATATATTTAGAACTTTTTTTTTTATTTAACTTGCATGGCAAAGTTCTATCAGCCTTTTAGATCTTGATAGATTGTCGGGTAATATGTTTTCTAGCTATTTCCTAGGTAATTATAGAACTATTAATCTATGGTTTGATGAACTCTACGTTTTTTTGACTACCTGTAATATTTACAAATCTATTAAATTATCAAGCAGGACAAATATAAATATCAATATAGACTGAAAGCTTTAAAAATTAAGTAACATATCTCGCAAAATAGGTCATAAAAATAATAAATTATATATTTAAATAGATACAAATATCTAACTTTTTATGATGCATACTTTCTGCTTATTCAAAATTATTAATGTCCGTTGTTCCACTTTCTACTTAGCGTTTATGATTTTTTGTATAACTTCCTTAAAACAATAAGTTTAAGGATTTATTGCCCTACAAATTGTGTAAAAAGTTCTTGTACATTTCCCCCCTTAGTTTCGTTATTTAATGAAAATTTAGAGAATATTTGTTGCCTTCTGATAAAATCACTCAAAAATAAAGTAACTTAATATTTATTTTTAACCCGTTTTGAACTTTGCGATTATCTTGTTGAGCTTTTTAAATCTTTTCTGGCCCCTGAGACTAAAATTACGTGGACTTGCGATGCGTAATTTGCAAATTCGTTGCGGCTTCGGTACTTTGAAAAAAAAAAAACACATTCATACAAAAAATATATATATAAAAATCCATTAAAGCTCAAAGTACTCGAAACGTATTGTAAATGGGCGGCGGAAGTGATTGTGAGTGATTACGAGGGGGCGTGGTCCCAAAAAGGGGCAGGGAGGCAGAGGTGTGTGGCATGTGCGGCTGCACTTTGTGTGTAAGTTTATGGACATGCTTAGTTTTTTTTTAGAGATTTTTTTGTATTTTTTATACTCTTGCAGAGGTTTTAATAGTTTTTTGATTATCTTAGATCTTTATAGTTTTTTTTGCAGGTTCTTCTTCTGATAAGCTTGTCTCTGTGTCCGTTTGTCAGCCAAAAGTTAAACCCTTAACTTTATAGCTTCTTATATTACTTCTTATATTTGTTTGAAGTATATAATACGGAATCGTTCAGATCAGTTGACTATATACTATAGTTTTTATATAATAAAGCGATGGGATATTTCCTATCTTTTTATTGAGGAGAGGTTCTTGGGAATCTCTTTAGAAATTACTGGATGAGCAACTGAGCTATTCTATCCCTTCAGACTATATCCTATATCCTCTATATATACCACTTATAGAGTATAAAAACTTCGACTTCCTCGGAAGTTAGTTTTTTTCTTGTTGTTTACGAGTCCCCTGAAAGTTGATCAAGAAAGATACTTATATATATCTCTAAACATACAAATGTACTCCCTGAATATATCCCTCCCTCCTCCCATATTAAAGTGTATATGTAGTATAAGTATACCCCCATCTCTGAATGGAAATCCGATCGCAATCAACACGCGGCGATCGCGACAATAGCAAAATTGTTTAATTAAATAACAAATATTTTTGTTTCGTTGCCGTCGTGGCTGTTTCCTCGTGGCAAATTAAAATAAAAAACAAATCAATGCCATTTGTGCCAAAATATTTTCTAATGATGTCAAAATGGCTTTGATGGGAGCGTGTGCCAAATGAACGAATCAAAAACACAACAAAATCAAATAAAATCGATAACAATTTAATCAATGATTTCAAATGCTATTATTTGCTTTTTTTCTATTTTATTATTTCAATTTTTTTTTTTGGCTTGTTTACATTCACAATGATTTCTTGACCTTTCATATTACACATTACGTTTTTTTCAGGGAGTATTGAATTTAAATCGGTTGAATGGAAATGTTTCTTAGAGGAGGGGTTATGTACAGCAAATATACTATATATGTATGTATATATAATGTATTGGTTAGGTATTTACAACGACTTAGTCTATATATATTTTTTTTTTCTTAATTTTTATACCAAATTATTAATCATTATTAATTTTTTAATTAGTTTTCACGCTTTCTTTAAGCTCAATTTATTTGCAAATCAATCAGCAAATCAAAACACACACAACAAACAAAAAAAAAAAAAAAAGAAGAAAAGTTGAAGTAGAAGGTAACATATGCATAAATAAGATATTAATGTGTTAATGAATAATATATATTTCGGATTGCCTTTCTAGGTTTTGTGATGTGCCAGCACAGTAAATTTCCATGGAATAAAATTCAAATTCGAACAAAAATTAAATGATACTTGTCACTCTACATCGTAAATCTATAAAATTATTCATTTGTTGAACAAAATGTATAGATGATTAACAATTAATCAATCTAAGCCAACTTAATGTCAAATATATAAAATAACTTCATGTTTGTAATCAAATTTCGTAATATATTAGCAAAATTCCACATCAAATCCGACTCCGAATCAATTAATTTCAAATCCCAAACCTTGGCTAACTGCCAGAATTAAATTCAATTCCACTTGACTGTAACTAATTCATGAGCAATCATATGAGAGTGTGACTGGTCGGTGAACAACTTCACGAAACCCCAATGATAATTCAATAATAATGGTATAATGTTTACCTCGCACATAAATTACAAAGCTTCCAATAACTGGTTTTGATCTATAACACTTATCGAATCCAATTTTTTTTTGCGTACATTTCCGCAGTGGTGGAAAATTTACTTTACTCAATTTTTCCTTAATTTTTTTTTGCGAGTGATAAGTGATTTTTACAAAAACAAAATTATAAAAAAGTTTACATAAAAAATCAAGTCTCTGGGTTTTTGTTTGGATTACTGTCTCAGGTTTTTTTTCTGTTTAGCTTTCTGGGTTATACAAAGTTAGCTATTTAGAAGAATTCGATGTTTGAAATGTTTGTTTAGTTTTTAGAGTGAGTTTTTTGTTTTTTTTTTAAGTGATAGGTTTCTATGCTAGGTGAGTTTTAAGTTTTTAAAATGCTCAAGATGCGATGGATGCGTTGGGATGTGCGATGAATGATGGATGAGAACTATGATGATCTTTGATTGATGATCGTTGACTGATGTTCGTTGATTGATGATTGGTTGATTGAAAAGGGTGCAGGAGTGTGGTTGGATTTTGTTGAATATTTTTTTTTTTTTTTAGATTTCTCATTTTTTTTTTGTGGCAAGTTGAGCAGCTGCAGGCATTGTAAGATTTTTTTCAAATTGCACTTTGCTCGATGTTGTTGTCTCTTGTTGTTGTTGTTGCTGATGTAGCTGTTGTTGTTGTTGACTGTAGTTGTTGTTGTTGTTTTTGTTGTTGTACTTGTTGAAGTTGTTGCAGTAGTAGTTGTTGTTGTTGTTGTTGTTTATACGTGCGACCAAGTAAAGGAACATGCTCTTCTAAAATTAGAGTTTTTTTTTTTTTTTTTGTTGCCGTAGAAAAAAAAAATTAAGAAGAAAAAAAATAAAATTCAAAAATGCATATAAATGAAAATGTGACAAACATAAAAATAATTTATTTTTAGTAATTTTTTTTTTTTAATTTTAAGAAATGCCATGCAAAAAGCCCCAATAAAGCATAAGCGGGCGTGCAGAACAGAGACAGGGATATAGAGAGACAGACAGAGATGAACTGAGGTGTAAAATGAACAATTTTTTTTTTTTTAAATTTTTGAAAAATATTGGAACTTGGAAAAAACAACACCCGAAATATGATTTAAAAAAGCGGGGAATATTGTTTTTGGAACACCAGCGGTTATTTTTAAGATTTTGTTTTGGAAAATTATTTAAAAATAAAAACTATTCACAAAAATTACTTTTACATATAAATAAGAAAATTCAACAGTTTCATAGTTCAAGTTCAAGACAGAAGTACCAAAATAAGTTTTATTTCAAGTTTCAAACAAAATAGTTATTCAAAATATCAAACCTATTTCATTAAATATTATTAAATAATATCAACTTACTTTAAAATACTAACTACACATTACTTGGTTAACCAAACAATTAAATAAATTTTAATATTTGTGAATAGAGCCAACAAAAGCTAGTTAGTCTAAATGTTAAAAAAAAAAACCCTTGTTATTTTATTAACCGCCGCTGTTTTAAATATTATATTTTTATTGGCTAATGATGTGTTAGTTTTTTAAGAATTATAAATAATTTTTAAAGCTTACCCTGCAACTGCCGGTTGATTAGGGCCGTCAGTCCATGGCCCACGTCCACACTCTTTTTCAGGATCAGCATGGGCTTATCCTCGGCATCCTCCGCATAACCACCCGAGGGCAAAAAGCCATTGCTGGCTATCGATTCGCTCACCTTTTGAATAATTTAATAAATTCATTTTTAAATTTGTTTCTTTATTAATTGATTTTGTATTAAAAACATACCTGTGTAACCTGCATTAATTTTTTGACCACATCCCGGCCAAGTATATGATCAAAAACGGTCTGCAAAAAGGGCTCAGCCATAATTGACAATTTTAGTTTGTCACGATGCCAGATGAGGACTCGTGACTCTTCCATGGCCATGATAGAGACCTAAAATATGATTTTTAAAATAGTTTAAACAAGGATTTAAGGGTTTATGATGATAAAAATATATTTTAAAGATTCTTAAGAAGCTAGAAGCTTTTATTTTGATAAATAACCAAGTTAGAGCATTATATAGGGCTTCTATATAATATAGACTTATGATTCTGATAAATCTGACAATTAATATCTATAAAATCAAGTCTCTAATTTTAAAACTAAGAAACTTATCCGCTTTTAAAACAGATTCGCAATGTCTTTACTTTTAATTGAAACGTATCCCCTCTCGATTACCTTCTTTGAAATAAACTTCTTACAATCCCAATCGCCAGACCATAAATATCTTATTTCTTATATAAAAATCGTAAAATAAACACCTGAAAGTAATCATCGGTCGAGACGCCAAACCATTCCGGCGAGTCTAGGAACTGATGGGGAAATACAATATGCAGGGCTCGCTGATGTTGTGAAACCACCAATCTGTTGCAAATAAACACACATTACATAAATATATATATATTTATTATTTTAAATTCAGGAATATGATTCATACATATATTTTGTATCACTTACTTGCCGCTCAACACCAGAGAAAGGCTATCGACCTTGGTGACCTTCTCCTGGGCGTAGACCTCCTGGTATTTCAGGGCACGTATCACCTTCATGCAGTTTAGTACCTTCTTGAATTGATGCCGGGTCACGTGCAGGGGCTGGAACAGTGCCAGATACACCTGTAAATGGTAAAAAGATCAAATTAAATGCTGATTCTTTCATTTAATTTAAAAAAAGGTGTCTTATTGAAATTTAATTCCAAAAACGTGGACAGTTTGGAAATCAATAAATGATAAAGGAAGTAAGTAACTCTAGTAGCTGGGAAACTAAACGAAATTTCTTAAAATTTGTTTGGAGCTTCGATCATTGACAGTCAATACATAAAATCACCCAATTTATGGATCAGGAACAGGAATTTTTCCTCGTCTTCTCAATCGAATGAAAAATGCCAACAAAAACAAATAAATTTCCTCACTCCATTATCCATATATTCTCAACCTAAATAGAGTTTTAAACTCTTTGGAAAAATTTGTGTTGCCAGGGGAAGATGCTTTTCACACTAAACGATGAGCAAATAAACAGTTCGGAATATGCAAATATTTTCGCAGACCGAGAGTGTTAACTGTTTTCTATTTTGCTAAGCTCAATGACCGCGCCGCCGTATTACGCCCACTTATTTTTTTTTTTTTTTACCTTGGCCCATCGAAGTTTTTATTTATTTAATTTATAGGTTTATTTAATATTGTTATTATTTAACATCATTTTTCATTAAAAAGTGGTCCTAAATTATAAGTTAGTTTCTGTTTTAGAAAAAAATTTGACTTGAAATTAAATTTTTTATATTTTAAATTAAAACCCCAAAAGTATAAAATATTTCCAGTTGTCTAAAAAATTTCCACAAATATAAATAAAAGAATATATTTTCTTATATTTGCAAATGTGGGCGTGGATGAGCTTCACGCAAAAAAAAAAAAACTCAGACAGAGGCCAGCCAGATAATGCTGAGACCAGTTTTTTTTTGGCGGGTTTCGGGTGGAAGGAGGTGCAATTGATTGGTAACCCTCACCCCCTCCTCTCACCACTCTGTTGCCAACCAAAATGGGCCAGCAAAAAAAAATAATAATAATAAGCAACGACAACGATCACATGGCCAAAAATGTAAAACTTGGCCAAGTTGGTTGCCAAGCAGAAATATTATGAGTTTCTGCTGACGCAGCCGTTAGACAGCAGGCTATAAGGCACCTCCCCAACTAGCCACTGCCCCCCCTCTAGTTGGGGTGTCGCCGCCACAGGGAGTCGCCCATGTGGTAGCCACAACAAATAGCAACAACTTGCAAGGCGATCATATTGCGACGAGCAACATAAAACTCAGGCATTTTCCACAACCTGTCGCCAGAAGTAAAAATGCATTTCATGATTCAAATTGCTTTTCAGATACTTGGAAAAATTATATTCAATGGCATTGATTTTTTGAGAGTATCAAGTTAAGATTTGATATATATTATTGAATATTAGTAGTCAGGAATAACTTAAAATTTATAAATTTTGGGAGTTATTGTAATTTGGAGTTATGCTTTGAAATTCTTTACCTTAAAAAAATATTCAGCCATATCTGTACATTTTTAAAACATGGTTAACACTTTCAAAAACTTAAAAAATTTCAGAAATATTCAATAATTTTTAAAATATTAAAATGTGAAAAATGTTTATTAAAAATATTGAACACGTATTCGAAAATATAGTAGATTTATTTTGAAATTATAAAAATACTCTTTAGAAAATATGGAATGCATTTTCGAAAATTGAAATACTTTCTAAAAAGGAACTTAAGATTATTTGTTTGAAAACAAATTTTTTTCTTAGTTATCCTTAAAGCTTTAATAATATTCCAAAATGTATGAAAATGATTCCAAAATCCTTCCAAAACACTCGAAACTGTTTGAAAATCTTTTTCAGGATTAAAAAATTGAAATAAACCACATTCTATACCAAAAAACCACCAAAATTTCTCTCAAATCTTTAAGTTTATAAGCTTAATCAATTTTTAAAGCCTTATTGTACTATAATTTTCTTTTAAATCGTTTTATAAAAGGACTAAAAGACAAATTAAAAACTTTGAATAATTTACCTAAAATTTACAAGCATTTAAACTACTGTTTTTATTTATTGTGCTGAAAAAGCAATAAACACTAAACATTAACAAGCCTGGCAAAGTAAATAAATAAACATAAATGGATATGCTTTTTGGCGACGCCGGGCGGACAAATTGTGATCCCGTGGATTGGATTGGATTGGATTGGATGAGATTGTATAGGATGGAGATGGGGTATGGGTATGGGGACTTGGACTGGATCCAGCGGATCCACGCGAATCGTTTTTTGTTTCGTTTCGATTTGCAACAGTCGCCAGTCGGTTGTCGGCAGTCGGTCGGACATTGCCGCACATGTCCGAGTCACGTAGGCCACTTCGCAAATCCAAACACAGAAACAGAAACAGAGCCACTGGAACCACTGAGCCACCGAACCACACCACAAAGCCCACCAAGCACCAAAGCCCAGCTCAGAGAGCCACAAAATACATAAATAAAAAAAAAGTCATTAAAAAAGTATAAAAAATAAAATTCATGGAAAGAGTCACAGCAACAGTGGATCCAAGGGGATACCAATGCACCGAAAAAAAAATAACAAAATAATAATTCAATAAAATATCCTTAAAAAACGAAAAGGCAGTAAATTAAAGGATAATAATACAAAATATTAACATAATCATCTTGTCATAATTTATGATAATGTGCTTATTAATTATTAGCTTTATTTTTGAGATACTTTTACTTTAAATTTTTTTGAATTATTCTTTTTTTCAAAAATCTGTTTGAAGAATACAAAAAAAAACATTTTCTCGTAACTCCTTATGTTTCTATGAAAAGTGAATCTAGAAATCGAGGATCTAGGATAGAAATCTTATCTAGGAAATTTTAAAAATAAATTGAACGAAATAGTGAAGGATAATATTTCAAAAAAAAACATTCAAAAGTATTTTTTTAAATATTTTTCATGATTTTAAGAGGTCATTAGAGTTATTTTCGAAGTAAGTACCGGGTATATATTATCGAACGTGGTTTAATCCTTAAATGAACCTATTAAAAGATACCTTATTTTAAGAACTTTTTCCTGTCATTATTTTTATTATTCTTTGGCATAAAACTATTCCTTTTAATTAATTCCAGTGTATGACTACAGAAACAGCAGATTAGCGACCGTATAATGATGATGAACTGTGCTTGTGCTAAACTGGGATGGCACTATATATAAGTACATACATATATAGAAAAACATATATATAAATATATGTAAATACTTGTGTGTGGGATGGAGAGATCAACCGGGATCGTGGATCAGAGATCGGGGATTTTTGGGGGAATCAGGGGCAACCAACCAGGTCTGGGGTCATTCCTTCGTTTCGTGGATTTGCTGTGGGAAATAAAACGCGATTCCGTTGAGCCGCTTGCAATTTGCGAATTGAAATCAATGAAAGCGAAAGAATTCCACAAAAAAAAACCAAAAACACAAAAAACTAAAACCGAAACAAAGCAATTTAGGTATGATCGTCAGTGAAAGATAGTGCTCTACTCTACTTAATCCAATCGGATCAGATTTGTGCAATGATTGTCCCAAAAAAAGAGGTACAACTTGACATGGATTAATCCCAAAAACAAAAAACGATTGTGATTATTGAGGCCAAGGAAAAGAAAAGCTATCCTTCAAAATGATTTATGTACTTGTATATTTTAATTTAAATTGGCCAATTTAATATGTATATTATGGGAACTGAATATTTTTAGAGTGCTTGGGGGTTACCTGTTTTAAACTAAAGATAAAGGTTAAGATTGGGTTACCTTTTCTGGCAGGATATACCATAATTTATTGCCCTTTTTTGGAATAATTTAAAGACTCATTTCCATTTTTAATAAAATAAATTTAAAAAAAAATTAATTTAGATTGCACCTTTTAATAAAACCTTTTCATTTATTATATAATACACATTCTCAATACTAACTCAATTAAGCCTTATAAGAACTCATTAAATAGTTTCCATTCTTTAGAATTCTTCAGCATTTTTTTTTTCTTGTACAACGATTACAACTCAATCTTCTTCTGAAGATTCTCCGTTTAATTGGTTGGAATTCTTCTGGTCTTCTGGATCTCCCAACAACTCAATACAGATCGATGTGCATCCTGTTCAAGTTCATTCAGGTATAATTATAACTGATCGTCTTTAATTACTCTACTTGTACTTTTATTTTTTATTTTTGCTTTTATATCTCTTCGATTCTTGTTTGCTCTTCACTGACCTGCCCAAATAGATCAGAAAAGAAAGGAAAATAAAAGAGCAAAAAGTTCGCTGAAGATCAACAAGAAAAAAGAAAAAACATTTATGAGCCATTGAACCTGTTGCTGATCGGTGATAAGCGGGAGCGGGCCCCAAACCATATGCCCTCTCTTTTACGATTTAAGAGAGCAGGCAGGCCAAGCGCAGTCGGCAACAGTGGGGCCATTAAAAAGTAAAAACAAATAAAATCGCACGCTGCACACGTCTCATTTGGCCAGCAGCGTGATAGTGTGAGAGAGAAAGAGAGAGAGTGGATGGGGAAAGGTGGAGCAGAGGAGGCGCTAAAAGGTGGGCGTCCTAGGGGGCCGAGTGAGAGGGCCGGGTGTTGGGCCAGCCACACACTGCACACAATACGCGGGAGGCTTGTAAACAATCGATTGACGACAACATCTTGCTGATAATAATAAGGAATAATAAAAAATAAGCCAAACTGCTAAGGCATGCCACTAAGATTAAAGTTTGCATTGGAGTTTTCTTTGTAGAGCGAGAATATTCTAACCATCTCTTTCTGGCCTTCTTATCACGAGACCAACACAGGAAACCGAACGTGTCATGATGAAATATCACAAAATGAAAGTCTATCTTGAAGTCTAAATTTTAGACTCCAAAAAGCTTTACTTTTAAGGTTTTTTCTTTTTTATTTCATAATTATACTAATTAATATTATAACAGAATAATATTATACTTCACTGCATTATGTTATATTGCATTATATTATATTTTATTAAAAGGGTGATTTATGTAAGGTAAGTATATAAATTTAATACTTCACCAAATAATGCACCTACAG